CTCACCACCTCCAACCTCGCGTCGCGGCCGCGCGATTAGAACTCCGTCTCGATTTCTATAGCTGTATATATATATTAAAGCCTATTGATCTCACCACCAAAATATATCGTGATAATATCTATTTGGTGTGGCTCTATAGCCTCGTTTTTAAGGTAGTTTTGGTGAGGCCGCGCGCGCACTTTGTGGTCGCGCGCACTTTGTGGTGGGGCTAGTTAATGGTGAGATTTTAAGCTTGTTTATGGTCGAGGGCAAGGATCGTTGTGCACCTGCTTGATGATTCGACACTTTTGCATGCAGCGGGGTTTTGGTGGATATACAATTGGGAAAATATGGTAAGTATAGCCACGTGCATGCGTTGAAGAAATTGGTTCAAGAAGGGTGTTCAACAGCGAAAACAGGCTTTGTGATAGTAAAAATTTACTAGCCTTTTCGCTCATGAGAACATGCAGCTTACTACTCGAGACAGCACCAAGCAACACAGACAATAAAATACATGGACATTGGCTCGAAAGAAGGCCTTTGATTATTTTTCCATGGCTCTTTTCAGCCTCACCTCATGTCCACGCCACGTCGATATAACGCTCCAAACGGCCTCATTATTAAATTTCACACTTGCTGCTTTTTCCATGTTCGTCCTTCTCCCTAGAATATTCCTAACTTCGACACTACGGATGGACCGATAAACATGAGCTTAGACAAAAACAAACTTAGCATCCATGCATTGGTACGTAATCACCATCTGTAGAAAAGAGAAAGCAAAAAAAATCAATCCCCAAGCCCGTCGCCCAGAGCTTATGTATACCATCACGTTCCCACCCCCAACATCACATCAACGCTCCCTCCTCCCTACTCAAAACTAATACACCTCTTCCATCTCTCTCAAGGCAAACAGCACTTGTAGTTATCGCCGCCGGGACAAAGCCCCGTCTGCCAGGTGCCACTGCAACCCGACGAGGTATACTTGCAAGTTCCCTTTCCCTTTGTGCCGCACTGGCCGGGCGGATACGTGCAGCAGCGGTTATCAGCGCCGCCCAGGCACAAGTCGAGCGAGACGGAGCCGCCGAGTGTCTTTGTGCAGTACGACGGGACGTCGCACCAGCCCGCTTTGCCGCAGGGCTCGCCTTGCGCGAGGGTGGTGGCGGCGAAGACGAGAGCTGTAAGGAAGTGCTGCATGTGCATTGTGGTGTATATCAAGATATCTCAGACGATATGTACGATTTGGATGAGGGAAGCTGAGTCCTGGTTTTGTGGTTTGTGTGAAAAGGCGAGGAGAAGCAGCCATACTACTCCTATATATATATACTGTTCGTTGGTACTGTCAGAGATGCCTTTGTTCGCATTCAATGCGAGCTTATAGTACATGGCCAGAGATGGAGATTCAATTGATGCATGGGTTTTTACACATAGGGTAACTAGAGTCTGGGGTCATTGTGGTACCATTTGTTATGGAGCTGGCGGTGATTGGCTGGGCGAAGATGCGCGTGCATGGCGGGATAAAGTGATTTCTCGTATCGTTGCGGCCAGAACTACGTCCGAGTTACACAACTCCAAGCTGAACCTCTTGTGCGTGCGATGCCATCGTATTTTTGTAGCAGGCCATGCAGCCAAGAAGCGGGGTCAGGCGAGCATTGCGTGAATGCACTGTAACGTTTCTTTGATTTGGATTGAGATGGTAGAGTTAAGACTAGGATATCGAAGTATGACGGCGTAATGCGAGTTTACTGACATGTCGATTCTTGAGTGCAACTCTTGTCTACAGTTTGCGTCCTTAGGATTCCGCAATGCTCAGCCAGCCCGGCTTCTCATGTTCAAACGACTTGTACCCCGGAACAGGGAATTCTTCAAACAAGCCAGCCTTTACAAAGACTTTTGGAAACTCCTCGCCGAGAAATGAAGCAACGGGACTATCGTTCAGTCAACTATAGATTTCAGATTTTTGTTTCGCAACGTACCATCCGCAAATGCCACAGAATTTCCGCGTGACGGTATTTCCGCTCTTGGTATCCGTGTCCTTGTACGTCTTGAGATTGCCGCCAGCGTCGTGGATTGTAACATCTGGTTTGTCAACAGGGAAGAGAATCGACCCGGCACAGGAGCCGGCACGACGACAATTGGAGCTTGGAGCATCAGCATAAGTCATGATTTGGAGGGCTCTGCATACCAGAAGCAGATTGCCGATTGGTCAGGTATCGCGGGAATGGAGACCTTGATTTGTCCGCAGTTGCAGCGTCCTTCAACCATGGCGACGGTAATGACAAGGGCTACGTGTGGGGGCTGGAAAGATGGATATGGGATGAATGGGTAGGCTTCCAAGTGCGGTGGATCTGGTGATGAAATCTGGGAAACCCGACTAATGCGGAGCGGGGGCAACAGCTGAACTGGTGGGTGCCTCGGCAACGAGGCACAAGTTAGCCCAAAACAACAGCCATGCCTGCAGGTTGGATCAGCTCATCGTATACTAAGTTTGGGTTGTTGACCAGCCAAGTCCAAAAATGATGCCACCGTACGACTATCTCTTGTCAGAATGGTTGCCGTCGATTACAACCGAAGACGCATCGTCTACCCCGCAACCCACCAGGCTCGCAACCCGGCTAGAAGATGTTTTTGCAGAGAGGTTTGTGAAGGTACCGAGTTGTTTCAATTCTTGAGAGTTCTTGCGAGACTTGGACATAGATCCTTGGGCGACAATGATGGATTCTATTATATGACGTCATACTGTAGATGCTGCCCACGGCTCACGTAACAAAGACTAGAGAAAATCCAAGACGAAACCTCTAACAAGAAGCATCTTGGAGTCCAGAAAGAGAGCCCAAGAGATGAGGTGAGGTTCGCAAAGCAGGCGCAGGATCACGGCAAGTATCCGCATGCAGCTAGCGCCGCCATTCAGTCCTCCCCAACTCGCGCACCCGCAGACGCGCGCTTACACCGCATAAACCGACTTCCAACATCACCATCACTAGCACCCGTTGGGCCAAACAACGACTCACACATACACACCACTTACAGCCGTAAAAACTCAAACACAATGGTAACCACCTACCCTCTTCGTAATACCTGTATACTTTGTCCCTAGACTAACCAACACCCTCCCAGACCCGCGACTCAACAGCCACATATCTGCACATGCACGCGTCGCACCACGCCGATCTGCTGGAACAATTCACAAACTTAACATCGTCACAGCTGGCGCCCGAAGACATCTACGTCCCGCCGCATCTGCAGCCCGTGAACCCGGAAGACGAAGACGACGTGGTGCCGGATCAGCACGCGGCGTTTGGAATCCAGCGCGCGACGCAGGGCAAGAAGGAGCCCACGTGGCGCGATCTGGGGCTCGAAGAATTGCTGAGGCGCGGGCCGGCTGGTGCGGAGAGGAGCGGTGCTGCGGGTGCGAGTAGGGTTGCGAGCGGTGGTGGTGGTGGTGGTGGGCAGACAGGTGAAGAACCTGTGAGGCTGGCGCTGGCGAGGCAGCCCGGTGCTAGAGTGGGTGTGAGGATGGCGCATACGGGGACGGAAATGAGTTCGGCGGGAGGAGGAGCGGGCAATGGGTTACCGCGTTGAGTTGAGAGTGCTGTGTGTGCATGAGTGAGAAGAGAAGAGAAGAGAAGTGTTTTGGTGTTTCCCAAGAGTCCTGGTGGCTGTGTGGAGATCAGAGCGGATACGCGTGCAAGGGAATGCGGCGTGGTTCTGCCATGGCTTGACTGAGAGTAGTCTGTTCCTGTTGGCATCGACAGTCGTATAACGAGACAGTTGAGGCTTGCTGTGCGTGTCTGACACTCGCACAACAAAGAGAAAGGACATGGAAACGGGGCAGAGAGACTTGGGCACTCTGCACTGCGACGACGAGACGCAACAGCAGTGTCTCGAGGGAGTCCGAATTGGGAAAAATTGATTTATGGGAATCATGAAAACGACACATGCTATAACAATCGACCCAAATGATATTTATATTTGGATTAGCGCAACAACCATAATACATAATGACTACTCGCTGACCACAAATCCATTCCACCAACAAATTTCTTTTTTCCAATCCAATCCCATTTTATCCGTCTTCAACCTACTCTGTATCCGAGGCCCTGCTCCCCCTCTGTTCAATCTCAACCTCGTGTATTCGCCTCGACATTAGTTCGCGCGCACACCCACGGTACGCCTACCATATGAGCAGCGCCTTGACCATACGCCATACGCATGCCTGCCATCTAGCCTATTCCATGCCTCCATCTACGTCTGCAATTCTGTCGTGCGGAATTATGTACATGGTCGTTCTTGCAGGTGCTTTGCAGTCAGGATATTGGCCGTGGGATGCTTGCGGGTTGAACGACTGTAAGAACGTCTTCGATCATATCCTGATAGAGAGGTGCTGAGTCAATGCTCATCCGACCAGTCTGTTGCAGTTGGCCTTTGCAGATGAGGTTGGACTCGTAGTCGAGGCCCGTTTTTACATGAGACGATTTCCATTTCCCCCAGATACATCGGGGCAGCACCAACTATGAACAAAGGTGTGTTTCGCCGAACAAACTCGGTGTAAAAACACTCGAGTCAATTCACTCGGCAGTCTCAACGACCTTGTTTGAATGAATTCTCAATCCCGAGTCGGCTTTCTAACACTGTGGATATGTATCCGTCGTGCAACACGTTGCATGTGGGGGTATAACAAGACCGACTGCTGTACGATGCCTTGTTGATTGGTCGTTTGAGAGGAAGGCTGTTGTCGCGGATCAATCATCTGTCAAATCGATACATTCAACCTCGACTGCAACGCCGCGAATGATTTCATGATGAACAGTTGTGGGGGTGGACGAGGGAGCCGAGTTACTTGCGTTCTTGGCATCAGGGACAGAAGGTGGAGGGACAGAAGGTGGAGGGACAGAAGGTGGAGGGACAGAAGGTGGAGGGACAGAAGGTGGAGGGACAGAAGATGCCGGGATAGAAGACGCCGGGATAGAAGACGCAGGAACAGGAGGTGTAGGAACAGAAAGTACAGCGAACCGCCGAAGTCGCGCAGCTCGAATCTCAGCAAGAGAAGGTTCAGCAGGGGCAGAAGCCTCTACTTCTTGACCAACAAAAGTATGACCCTGTGCAACCAGCACGCCAGAATCTGCGGCTATATCACCGTGTGCAGCAGGCAGTTGTCGACTCGGCGTTTCAACAGAATCAACTCTACTGGCATTTGCGTGAGTTCCTCGAGAGCCATTCCCGGTAGACTGTGTACTTGTTACTCCCAGTCTTGGAACTCGAGGGCCTCTCGACGACGAGGTAGGAACTGTTGAAGGATCGAATTCCCAAGCCGGCACTGGCGATCCCTGGATATTTCGTCCTGATTCCCGCATTGCGAAAATATCGTCATATTTGCCTTTGGTTGATGGGGGCATTGGACTGTCGGTTTGATCTTGCATACTGAGACGTATGGCGAGTTGAATGTCTTCGTACTCTTCTTCTCCTATTTCCTCGCCGTCTATTGAGAGGCCAGGGGGCCCTGGGTCATATGCAGTGGGGAATCTAGGGCCAGTCATAGAGTCGGTGGTAGCAAAAGGCGATGGTCTTCGTGGAGAGGGGGCTGAAGAGTCTTGGTGGTGTATTTCGTCTTCCGAGTCAGATAGCTCAATGACGGTTGTAAGCCTTGTAGAGCTGGGAGACTTGGACGGCTGAGACAGTACTCCTGGTTCAAGTGCAGATCGCCCGGAACTCTTTGACGGAGTCCTGGAATCCTCACCCAAACCCGGAGTAGTCTCTTCACCAGACGTGCGTTTCCGTTTGCTGCTCGACATCTCAACATCGTCCTCTGTATCATCCGCTCGGCGCTTGCGCTTGGAAGCTGACTTGGGTGTTGTAGGAGGCGGATCTAGAACGTCGACCGGAAGAACCTTACGAAGCCAGTATTCTGGTATCTCACACTCGACGCGATACCCCTCGTCAAAGAGCGTCTCTTTATCTCCATTCCAGTGTCCCAGTTCTGACCCTTCAAAGTCATCTCGGCATAGATTTGTTACGCCAAAGGGCGAGAATGTGAGTTTCCGCTCAAAGGTGCGCGTCGGCGGTATGTCTGTCGCCTTCTTTGTTCGCTGTTTAGTGAGCCGAATGCCATGCACCACTTCCTTGGGCAAAGTCGAGTCCCTTGCTATAAGATTGCGCGTTAGAAGGACCGGTCCGACCCAATTCATATACAATCTCCCCCAGATGTTGAAGCGCTCGCTTGTAAGCTGCAGAAGCTCATGCTCGGAAATAGGGCGAGTGTAATCCGGGCTGAGCATTGATCTCTCCAGCAATTCCACGTCACTGGTGACTTTCGGGCTGTAGTACTTTTTCAGGATTTTGTAGTCTGGGAACAGCGGGGGTACAGGGATGGCTCGCCCGCGTGGGGTACTGTGCAGGAACGCGGCCAACTCTTCACTCCAGAGATCACACTCTCGTTGGTCTCGACACGCACAGAGACTCTTTCCAAGCCCGCGCCGGACAGCCTGCAGGGCTATACCGGGTCCACACTGCGGCAGACCTCTCTCGTCGTAGTCTCCACCAACGAGCATGGCAAACAGTACATAACCTTCGCGATCTAGGCCATGACGTTGCTTCAAGTCGCTTGCCCGCACCATATTTGCGTACTTGCCCTGCTTCTTGGTATTTTCTTTGGAGCGATCTGCTATGTGTTTGTCTTTGGCAACGCGGTGATCATACAGCCAGAGGGTACAGCCGAATAGCAGGCAATCAGAGTCTTGCGACCAGACGGCGTCGACCAAGCCAAGCACCTGTATGCGCGCACATTCTGCCTCTGCTTCGCCAGGGGCCTCGTGGTACGGTATGCCGAAATACCTGAGCATTTCCTGCAGCAGGCGTCTCTCCTCATAATTGATCTTTCCCTGGCCCCTCTTGCCCCGCTTCCAGGGGCGACCAGGCCCGTCAAAAACAAATGAGTTGGATGTTCAGCGTAAGAAGACGGCATATACGGTAGAACATGGCTCTCTCGATGCCTTGGAATACGGGATCCTTCGAGGCTGCTGGGGTCAGCCTGAGAAGGCATTGGCTTGGTCACTACTCACTCTCGCGGATTATATAGACCTGCTGGGCCGTCAGGTTGTTGAAGCGCCAATCCGCCTCGTCGACGGCGATTCGAAGTGGTCTGCCATAGCGCCGGTGATGATCTTCAGCGAGCTGGGCAAGTGGAACGCTCTGCTCATGTCGCCGGATTGTGTCCCACAAGCTGTCTCTGGTTGTCAGTCTGGAAAACGACGAGACGGCTATTCAAGCACACATACGCGGTGACCCCCATGACGACAGGCGCACGTGTCCTAGCGCGGCCCGCAAATTCTACACAAAGGATACGAAAATAGGTATGTGAAGGTCCAATAAGTCACTAATATTGCGCAATGACTACTGGGTATGTAGAGCCCCGTCGAAGCGATACGCCCTAGCATGAATGAAACGCGCCGGCACGCTCGGCTCCGAATGCCCGTCAACGCGAACTCACGTGACTGACTCCCATCCATTACTCTCCATTCCAACATTCATCACCAGCAATTAATCTTGATTTCCATGTTTCACGCATCATGTCATTCTCATTTTCTGTACAAATGGTACAAGGTAACACGCTAATAAAACACCGTCAGAAGTTACAATTCACAATCCACAGCGAACGCCCCGTCCAGATCATGCCATAGCTGACTTTCAAGGAAAAAGCTCATGTCGTTGACGCGGTCCTGTGCACTCTTCCGCCGCTGCTTCAAAGCGTCTCCCAGTATTCTTGCTGCTGCAAGCGCCATGTCAGACTTTCGGCCCAAAAACCACAACGCCTTGATACAGTCGTCTGCTCGTCGGAACGCGTCTTCCTGGTCCACGTCACATGGCAGCAGTGCTTCCGACTCGAGCAGCAGCACGCCTGCCTTGGCAAAAGCACGAATCAATACTGCAGTCCACGGGTCCGTCAGCAGTGGCCCCTCGTTCATCGCAAAATGGAACGCGTGAGACTGCTGGAGCGATGCGTCCTGGCGAGGACATGCGCAGCCCGCCAGGTCTGACAGAGCCCGACAGTTATTTTCGCGGAACTTGGCAATAAAGGCACTCAAGTTGCGCTGTTCTGTTGCATGCTGCAGACCCATTTCGGATTCATCCACAACTTCCATAAGGTCTGCCAGAAGAAGCGTGGCTAGGTACCAATGACCGGCGACACAAACATACCACGACTGAACACGCGGAGGCAGACGGTCGTGGTATTGGATGCAGTCTCTGACAAAGGGTGCATAAAGCGTGTCCCAGTGATTGCAAACATCCAGCGCCGCACGCACAGCCTCTTCGACCTTTGTGCCTCGTGCGCTTCTTGTGAGAAGCGTCTGGATGCGGCAGACTCTTCTGAAGAGCAGTACTTTGACTGGAGCAGCCTCGCAGAGAGTAGTTGCTGCTTGCTCGAATGAACACGGCCACCTGATGGGTGCCTGTTCTACTTGTTGCTGTTGCCGGGCGAACAAGTACCCATCCCAAAGACCGTCGCTCTCCGTCTTGAAAGCGGGCGTCGTTTCTGGGCAACCCGGGCCATTCATCTGCATGGTTTCGTTTAGCACTATGTCACTATCTTCGTCGGATACCACTAGCGACCGCTTGTGCATGGCTGCCGACAAAGTGTCAAACGTGACGCCAAGCCAGAACAGCAAGTCGACTGTCGCACGATCCGCCTCCTCGAGCCGCATAGCTGGCGGGCGCCACGGCCGTCCGTAGCGCGTCGGTACCGGCTTGCTGTGCCGTGACTGTCTAGACACAGCCATGCGCGATCTCAGCGAATGTATGAGCCGAAGGCCCGATTCCAGATGCACAGGTGGACCGTCAGCTTCAATTGCAAGATCCAGCTTGGACATGAGATCTATGCACTCGTCCATGTCCTGGTCTATTGAGGTATTTGGTGCATCCTGGATATCCTCGGTGCTACTCCTCGACTCGAGCCCTTGAGACATGGAGACATTGTTCAGGCCGTTCATGGATGTCGCGTCTGTCTCGGCCGGCTTTTGTGTCAAGGCAAAGATGATCTGCGCAAGAACCACGCGGAAAGACTCTATCCCACCAGCTCGCTGCAAAGCGTTGTGGGCATCCTGCCATACGGTTACCTGGACGCTACGGTCGAATTCAAAGCCAGTCAGCCCATGGTCGTCGTCTTGGCCGTCAAAGACACCGCTGTTGCCCTTGGTCACGGTGCTACAGAATGGGTATTTTGTCCGGCGTTTCTGACCAGGCTGCGCCCACTGTGAAGCAAACGAAAACACGGCCAGGTCCAGGGCTTTCGAGGCTGCCTGGTCTTCGGTTGGTGTAAGCCTTCGCCCTCGAATTGCCGATGCTAGTCGATCGAGGCGGATCACTCGGTGGTAGATGCTCTTCCAGTCAGGTCCAGCGTTGGTTACAACAAGGTCATCCGATCTTGCGCTGTACGGACAGGTCCTCTCTGTTACCCAGCAGGCTAGTGCGTTCTCGAAGCTATCATGATATATCCTCAGCAAGCTCTCAGACAAGTACGCATTGTTGCTCGATGAAAGGAGGTTGCTGGCATAAGACATTGCTGGGTAAGGAGCCCCACCGTAAGAGAGTGATGCTGAGGAGCTGCGGCGTCTCCTTTTCCGATGCACCCGCACGAGCGGTCCTTCTGCACTGGTTGGGGAGACGCTGCTGGATTCGCAGTCGGCGGTTGGGCTGTCGTCGGGCTTTTCGCTGACGTCTGACGACGTTCTTAATGACGAGCCTTTGCCCGAGTCGCAGTCGGCAATGATGCTGTTTTCCTCCAACGGCGCGTCGGCTTGGTCGGCCAAGAAAATTGTGTCGTCTCTCTCTACTTTGGGAATCGGCCCGTCGAAAACTGTCGCTGTGGGATCGAGGGCGAACATGGACGACCCACAAGCAAAGTCGCCAAACGTGATGCCCAGCTCGGGCGGTGTCAGGTAGGAAGGGGATGCCTGGTGAATGGTGTTTGCATCCTGTCTTGACGGTCCAGCCACCGAAGACGTGCCACAGGCGCTCTCTTTCCGGGATTTGCTGGCCGAATCGCTCCTGTTATATCGACGGCGTTTTGGCGACGGCGCGGCACTCATATGCGGCTGCGAGGCCTGCAGCACTCGCTGGGAGCGCAGCCACTCGAAGGTACACGCCTTCTTGGTCTTTTCACAGTTTCCACACGAGGCCAGCGGCCCGTAGACATCTAGATTGTCAGCTGACACAGCACCTTAGCCTCGACGAAGACGGCGGCGGCTCACCACTGTAGTGGAACACGGTCGGAGTGGCGCCAGTCCTGCTTGTCTCGAGCAGCGTATCCTCTAGAATGGCGGCGTCGCAGGCGCGCTTCCCCTTGCGACATTGGTCACAACACCGGTTCTGCTTGCGGCTGGTCTTTGAGGGTTTTGGCGCCGTCACGGCCGCCGACGAGGGCGAGGTCCACGCATAGTCGAGAAACGACTTTGGCTGCACGTCGACGAAGTTCATGGCTGGCTGCTGCTGCTCGGACTGGGCGGCAGAAAGAGGGAAAAGTACGAGAGGTCTGGCTTGATGCAAAGAGCCAAGTGCGTTGCTGATATGCACGCCCCGCCCGCCAGCCGAAGATCCACAGCCCAACCGGGAAATGCGGGGAAAGCTAACGCGTGGCACACCAAAGACACCACAAGACCCACGCCGTTGAATAGCGCCTATCGGTGACGCCTTGGCCCGCTGGAAGCTCGTCCATCGTCTTGATCCTCTCGATCTGCTCCTGCCCACCTTTTTTTCTTTGCTGCCACTTCCCATGAGTTGCGGCCGTCGAGCAACCCAACCCCCCTCCTCCCCCCGTGCTCGTCGCCCCCCGCACGTGACTCGGCCGTGTGCAGGCAAAAACCAAGCGTCCGAGAGCTCTTGGGCGTCACACCAGGCCATGAATTCGTGGAGAGGCGATTGGCTGGCCAATTTGCGGACAGAAGCTTCCGAAACCTTCTTGCATGTTAACTTGGATCAATGGACCTGAGATCGGCCCATCGAGCCGCTTATCACTCCTCGCTTTCACCGCTCAAAGGGACCCCGTTCACTTCGTCCGACGCCTCGCACTGCTTGAGATCTTGCATGTGTATCTGCAGTGTTTGTGGGCTCTATGTATGCTGAGTAGGCAGTTGATTACCATAGTCATATGCCGTGGCTACTAAAAGCCGGGACACGCCTTGGATTGAGCTCTCCGCGTTCCCAAGTGCCCCTTTTCCCGTCGAATGAATCCTTCCGGCTGTTCCTAGAGCGATCGGGCGATCAACTAGGCATAGGCGCACACGGATATTGAGTTTAACGCAAGGTCCGGCCAAGAGGATCGGATGCTTTCCGCTCAAACGAAAAGGACCGACTCGCACAAGCAGGGCATACTGATACGGCCTGCTAGGTTCAGGTACTAGCCATGGGTAGGTGTACTTGCCAAAACTGACCTGGTATGTACCTGGGAAAAGTACCTGGGGGTCAGTGGACGTCACTGTTCAAATGGGCATAGCCTCGTAACTTTCGCCTATCTGGCGGGTCCTGCGTACCGCGTATCAGACTTGTGACTAGTCCTCAATTGTGGAAAGACGGTCTTTCTTTCAATAAACACTCACAATGATGAGCGCTAGGATCAAAAACTGAATATAGTCCATGTGCATAAAAACGTCTATTTGCATCTGGTAAAAGCTACAGCGCAGCCCTGACCGAGCCATGCAGAACATGCGTAATCCCATAATTCAGAGCATCCAAATCCATATCTATTCACTGCAAGAGGCATCGTTGTTTTTGATGGTAGCCCGGCAGCAGCTGATCCAACCAACGAGTATATCGCCGGGATCGGTGCCGAATTCGCAGACTTTGCCAGTATCTGCACCCTCTATTCGTCTGCCCTCAGCATTCGTAACTCCCTTGGTGCAGAGCACTGACGAGAATAGCGAACTTCATGGTTTCGGCGTTTTTGATAGCGGCTCGTAGAAAAGGGCGTAATGATATGTAAGAGTATTGAATTGCTCAGAAGAAGATGAGGATGAGTGACTTGCTGGATACTCCAAAACGAGGGAAATCACAGCACATATTTATATTCCAGCCGCGTATAAACGTCTCCAAGCTTACCTCCACGGACTCTCCTGCCGTAGCCTTCTCGACAGCTCCCGTCCCGCCGGTCTCCGGGTTTCTGAAAAGGCCCTAATTCTAGATGAACACACAAAAAAAACCCCCCTTGGGTCTTTTGTAGACGGCCTAGACCTATGAGGGCGCATTTTACGAACGAGGCATATCTATGTCCCTATTGTGGGTATACCGTTCAAGGTCGAGCCATGCTAGTGCTGATTCGTTGGATGGATAGGCTCGTAAAACAGTACTGCTGCAAAGGGCTTCCCGAAAGTATTCGCATCGCTAAGAAAGCGCTAGGTTGCTATTTGGTTAGTACTCTCGACTAATTGAGTATAAATCATTGGCGCGCTAGAGATACCCGTAAAGCCTGTATCTAAACTCTACGTTGAAGAAGCTCTCTCGGTAGCGATACGAACGTTTGAAACGGTTGTCTTGTATGTACTATTGCAGGAGTAGTTAGCGCTTATTATAGATTGCGAGATTAGTAGCCTGTGCGCACAGTGGTTGCTCGCCAAGTTGATGCGGCAAAGGCTTTACTCTGAAATAACGTGTGAGAATACGATGACTGGAAGTCCTAGTACAATGGCAGGCTAAGGCATAACTAATCATTGACTCCGGGACGGCATTTGCTAGTAGGTCTGTAGCAATTCGTAGGCGAGTATCCTATGAAACAAAGAGTGAGTTCTCAAGCAATAACAACACAGGAACAAACGGTACTCTTAATTACAGCAGGGGTTTCAGTGAGCATGGGCTGGACCATCTTGCGGGACGTTTTCCAACACCTTGGGAATATAGTAGCAGAACCATCCAGCCGGCACAGCTTATAATTCCATCTCTCTCTCTCACCATCACGCCACCCGTTGTCACTCTGTCTTGGCATGCCCTTTCGAGACATGGACGCGTCCCTGATTCCTTTCACTCACAATCCAATGGCCAGAATGACATGAGATTAGAAAATCTTTTAGAAAATCCAAGACAACATTGCAGTATTTAGTCTCCAGCCACCAAAGCCATTACTCCCTCTTCCACCTCTCCTCACATCCAACCCGATCCATACATAGCCTCCACATCCGCAGTTCCAACACGCCAAGGGCACCCCCACTACGCAACACCGACCGCTCGTTCCACTATTACACCGCACGCCTTAACACCGCGTACGTGGAAAACCAGTGGGGCCCGCGCACGTCCGTACCGCATTCTATATATCCATCCATTATTATATCCCCCCCAGGACAGGATACCCGACTCGCCCTGCGCCAACCCGCGAACCAAAAACCGGGTTTCTACACGGATTTATTTATACACACGGCGTTTGTACAGTAGGGCAATCTACTACAAACCCAGTGGCTTTAACAAGGACCTAGCGAGGCGAGGAATCCGACCCGGCTGCGCGTGAAACACGAGCAAAGACAGCCGAGACGCGGTCAGCATTATGTTTTTCTTTTCTTTTTTTATGTTGTTTATACGAGATGTAAGTAAGTACTTGGGATGATTCCCAAACGTCTTACTCAAGTATGGATAAGTCTGAATCCATGCCACGACTCAGCTACCTCATCTTTCCGAACATAGATGCTTGCTGAATTGCATTTTGCATTCTGTTGCATTCTCCGAGTCGAACATTCACAGCCTATTGGCATGGCGTTGTATTTTGTCACGCTCAGAAGAAAGAAATCGCAATCTCATCATGGCGAAACGAGGGGGTTCACATACACACATAGCAAACTACCCCCGCCCGGTAAGCAGCGCGCCCATATACAGCTCGTGCACGCTTACTTGTACACACATGCATACAGACTTAGCGAAGCTAGCTAGTTACAGTACCATACCATACTCACCAGGGCGGGAGAGATCTCGGCTACAGTCAGTCGGGGTACATAGATTGTATGTACCTTACTACATACAGTAAGTAGTATTTCCAGAAGCACACTTCCTCCCTTCCTGCCAAGTTATTCCTCCCCCCTCCCCCACCTCTGCACAACTAACAAACTGATAAAACAATGCGGGGGGGTGGTACATGAATGCATAAGCCTCTCACTCCACCCTTGGACGTCTTCTTCTCCTTCCATTTGCAACTTCCATTCGCGCTTCCACTTCTCTCCGCTCCGCTTATCCCGTCTCACGTCAGCCGAGCATCTGACTTGACAGGCTCGGGGACCAGGGTGCTGACGGAGCAGGTGGCGGTGGGTACATGCACATGCATAATCTTCTATCAAGCAAAGAAGAAAACTCTAAAAGTCACGTGAAAGAGAGAGAGAGAGCGAGCGAGTGAGAAAGCCTCCGAAACCTCCGCTACAACCTGCAGCTGTAGCGGGCGAGATTAGGCTACAAAGAGGGAATGCAGGTAGATGGATAGATTGACACTGCGAATGGGATTCTAGCGGATGCATCGGCCGCGCTGGAAAGTATGGACGGCCTGCTAACACCCCCCACCCCCCCCCTCACCCTTGGCGGGGGGCAAAAGGCTGAGTAAGAACTCTCTTTTTGTTTTTGTATTTTGCTAGTGCTGGTGCTAGTGGCGATGAAAGAGAGCGTCTTTTTCTGGCTTTCCAGTGTAGCTCGTAGGAGGTTAGTTGGATGCATGTGTACTATATGTGTCTAAGTACTGGGGGGAGGAGAGGAGAGGTCATTCCAGCAATCGAGCCAATAGCCTCTCATACACAATGAATGTAACCAACTACGTACATGTAACATGTAACAAGAACCCCCCCCCCCTCTCCTCTCTTCCCCTCCTCCTTGCTTGGGTATCCGCCCTCCCCCGCCAAGCGAGATAGCACAAGCACAAGCAGAAAATGAAATAATACAGTAAAAAAGGGTACTTGTTGGTATAAATGTGCAATGTGCAATGCTGAGTTTGTGGCTGTAAACGATCGTCATGTGAAAATGACGTTGGGGGCGGAGGGGTCGGATGAGGGGGTTGGAGTGCTAGAGTGTGTCACGTGATAGCGCCCTACATCCGACGTTTATTGTTTTTTTTTCCAAATCTTATCATCGTGACTTGGCGTGGAAAGCTGCTGCTTACTTTGTACTAGTTTTCGGGATCATAAGACGTCGTAATTTGCTTCGTGTTGAGAACAACGCTAGTCTTGTACGATTCTTTAAAAGCAGACCTAGTCAGAACATGGGCATTCATCCGACATGTCAACACGCCAACGGCCGTGAGGGAGTCCGAGGTTCCGCTCTTTGATACCCAGTTGTGCTGAAGGCGAACTCGAAGAGTACCAGAGATGAGACGTGCAGATTTAGGGCTGGAATGGGCTGAAGAGACGGGAGTACCAGAGAATATGCAATTCAGGTTTGATTTACAGCTTTGCCTTGATCCATGTTTCGATGACTTGCTGACTACCGGTGCCAGAGTCACCCTTGTAACCTAGCGATCTCTCAATCACCATTTCCTCATGAGCTGCTTTCGGGGTAATGATGGTGTTTACGAGACCGCCGCGGCCACCGAATCCCTTTGTAAATTTCTCTGCAAAGGCTTCGATACCATCCAGCAGCACTTCGTTGCCACCCGCCCATATTAAGACTTGGTCGACAAAGTCAGCAACGGGGGCCCACCAATCGGGAGTGGCCAAGGCAGGCTCATTGTAGACATCGCCAGCAAAGGGCGAGTCGGAACCAAGGAAAGCCTCGGCCCATCGACTGAGGGCTCGGGCACCAAACATGTCACGTTGGGCGTTTGCGACGAACGAGGGGGTGCTATTGTGGTTAGGTGCGCACCATGGGGATATCAGCAGAACAGCATGAATCCTGGAAGGCAGTGAGAGTGGGGTCACGTCGGGATGGGGATGGGCCAGGTGCGAAAGCAGACCGAGGGTCAGGTTGCCGCCGGCAGAGTCACCACCCAATATAAGATCGGATGGATCACGACCTTGGGTGTATACGAGATGTTCAAGAAGCTCCGTGGCCTGCCTCAACTGCGTTGGGTATTTGGCCTGCGGTGCGAGGTCGTATGCAAGGACGAGCACCGAGACGTCAGGGCCGAGCGATTTCTGCAATTCGTCGAGCCACAGCAAAAGGCCCGCTGTGCAGGGCACCACATAGCCGCCGCCTGGAAGCGTTAGAGATTGGGGTTGTTGCATGTAATGTGGGCGTCGTGTGGTGCGTACCAGGGAAGTAGACCAGGACCTTTTTTGCGGTGCTGCTGCCGAGCCAATGCGCCTGGGTGCCGCTGGCGAGGGTGATGGTGTCGGGCACAAACTTGTGGTCCGAGGCGTACTTGAGGTAGTTCTCGGTCGACGAGCCGCCCTGCAAGTGGCGGTCATGGAAAAGGTCGTTGGCCGCCATGGCCGCGCGCATGGCAGCAAACACGACGTCTTTGAAGTACGTGTTGGATCCATTGTCGCCTTTGAAGGGCGACGTGACGCAGCGCTGCAGCGCGGCGGCGACGGAGGGGAAGTCAGCGGGGGAGACGCGGGACGAAGCGGGTGGCTGGGAATGCATACTGGCCTTGAGCACGACCGAGGTCACAAACAGCTTGTCCGCGTGCGGCTGGTCCGCCATGGTGTTGAGCCCGTGGTAGCGACTGGCACGGGTGGGAGGGAGTGGGCGGGCGAAGTGAACGTGGTCATGGGGGAGTATGGAAAGACTGGGGGAGCTGGCGGTCGCGTGGAGCAGCCGAGGGCGCGATACAGGAGCTGGCAGGCGCGATACAGCAGCGGGCAGGCGCGATACAGCAGCGGGCAGGCGCGATACAGCAGCGGGCAGGCGCGATACAGCAGCTGGGGGGAAGGCGCGATGCAGAGAGACAAACACACTCACTCACTCACCATTCAGGCCGGCCGTGGCGCGCACAATGGGCTGCACAATGGCCAGCACCGTCTTGAGGCGCTTCTTGATGTCGGCATTCTCGGCCTCGACGGCCTCCTTCTCGCGCAGCACGACCTGCAGGTCGCTGTACGGCTGCTGGCTCTCGAGGTCGCGGATGCGCTGGTTGAGGGCGTCAATCTGGTTCTTTGTGCGCTCGCGAATGGCGCGCTGGGCCTCGCGGTCGTTGGCGCGCTTGCGGGCGAGCTGCTCGGGCGTGAGGTTGGCGACGCCGCGCGAGTTGGGGCCTGTCCTGCGCTTTTTGCTGGGCTGCCCGTCGCCCGCGGCCTCGTCTCTGGGCGCCGCTTCGGGAGTGTCTGCGTCGCCCGGGGACGCCATGCTGATCATGGATGCGTGCGTGTGGGATGCGATTCAGGAGCGAGTTGGATGATTCCTGGCCCGAGTCATGAGCCCGCGCGCCTGTTGCGTGTGCGTGTGCGTGTGCGTGTGCGTGTGCTTGTTGCTGTGTGCGCCCGTGCCCGTGGGTCCCGGCGCCCGGAATGCGGGGGACCTGCGTCCCACTCGCGCGCCCGCCCAATCACCCGCGCCCGCCCAATCACCCGCGCCCGCCCAATCACCCGCGCCCGACCTTTCCTCCCTCCTCCAATCCCTCCCCCCTTCCCGCTGACACGACATCTTCTCCCCTCCGCCCCCCCCCCATGGCTGCTGCATACACTGCCCCCCGACACAGACAAGAAGCAACGCCAACACGCTGATGACTGACTGACTGACTGGCGACTCGCAGAACTGGCAGCCGCCGCCGAACGCTCGCCCCTGCCTCCTGTCCACCCATCACGCGACACGCCTGTGCAACCACCCACCCCCGCGGCCCTAGCGCATCCTCACCCTCACCCTCACCCTCACCCGCCCTCGCACTCGCACGCTCAACATGTCCTCCTCCAGCCGTCCGCCTCGCCCCAGAGCAATGGCCTCCACTCGCCCAGCATGCCCGACGCCGCCGCCGCCCAGCGCTCGTGGCTCTATCCCGGCGACGCGCCCACCAGCCATCTGCGCAGATACTCGAGCGACAGCCCCGGCCCGCACTTTGGCCAGGCACGCACCCCCCATATGCACTCGGACATGCCCTTTGACGAACGCCTGGGCGTCGACTTTCTGCTCGACAATGGCCAGCGCCGCCCCGTCGACCCCAACCTGCCCCCTCCACACCACGCCCGCCCCAGCAACGTCAGCACCAGCCAGCATGCCCAGTATGCCCCCAGCCTGGTCGCCCACCTGACGCTGCCTCGCAATCTGCCCGCCACCTGCCCGCTCGACGTCATCCTGCTCGACTTTCTGCAGGACCGCCAGAACCGTGCGGCCGAGGGCGTGCCCATCAAGACGCTCGTTGGGCCACACTATCCCAACTTCACCTCGCTGGCCTATCCCGACCGCGCCGTCGAGTCGCACCCGCTGTCCAAGCTCTTCACAGACATCCTGCGCACCTTTCCCGACATCTGCGGCCGCCCCGAGCAGGTGGCCATTGTCTTCATCATGTTCCTCATCATGCGCTGGCAGATTGAGCCCACACAGGAGAACTACGACCGCCTGCCCCACTGGGTGACCCCGCGGCCCGCCCAGCTCTTCACTCCCCATGCCCTGTGGATCGATCATCTTCCGTGGTAGGTGCCTGTCGGCATGCCGTGGTGCTCCATGCACAGCTCACATGACTAATCTGTTCCAGGCCCCGTCTGCGCGAGCGCCTCATCACCGCGCAGCCTCCCGTCTCGTTTGAGAACTTCTTCATTCCCTTTACCACGACGGTTTCACTCAACTGGCCCTACGAGCATCGCGACTGCCTCTTGCCTGCCTCGATTGTCCGCCATACCACCCTCTCCACCACGTCGTCCTCGATCGCAGCATCCTCGCCCTTTTCGACGCATGTGAATGCTGGCTCGCCCCAAGGGCCGGCAACGCCCCAGCCACCCACTGGAAATATCCCAACCATGGACCAGCTGCCCAAGGAAGACGATCAATGGCTCATCAACCCAGCCTTCGAGACGCATCTCCGCGACCTCAACAACTGGTCTTTGGGCCCTAGCTTCCGGGGCACCTTTCCCATGTTTGCTGATGCTGTCAAGATTAAGGAAGGAAGGTGACGTTGCTTGTACACGCATACATGGCGTTGCGCTCAGGCCGCTCGCGCGCGTAGTGCGTGTAAAGTCCCTACTGGAAACCTCGCGTGGCAGGCCGCTCGCGTTTGGAATCGACTTTTCTCGTTATGTTCATGTGTTTAATTATGTTGCTTGGGCTTTTTTTGTATTCATACACGTTCTGGGTATTCGTTGGAGTGAAGCAGCTCTTGGTAAGCTATGGAGTGCACGACAGCATCGGTGCAGCTGGTGGGAACATGAATTGACTCGGATTTTTTTTAAACTCGAACGCTACGAAATATAGAGTATTAATATTTGAATCTGCACATTTAGTTTTTTCCAAAGTCCTGGTCTGACTTGGTACCTAGACGCGTCATGTCTGTTCTACTAGCCCATGAAACGAGGCAGAGGAATAAGCAGCACGGTTGCCAAAATGTCGGTAAGCTTTGGCGAGTAGCGTTGGTAGTGGAGCCTACAAGTTGTCGTGGAAAGCCAATTGTAGAAAAACGTGGTGACCTCTCACTGGTGACGGTGAGCCTGACCGCCCCACAAAAGCCATCTCAGACTTACCCTTTTCGGCCTACTACCTAGTACTTTTAGTCCTTTTTTGGTGACTTGAGTATTCGGACAACAATTCACTCACATTCATCCCCAATATCTCTTCCCCCTTCGTTCTCCCTCTCTCTCTCACTCACTTTTTACCTTTCTCTCTCTCTCTCGCTCAATATTATTTAGACCTCACCATGGCAACTACAGTCGTCTTGCCCGACCCCGTCCACCAGCAAATCTACTCTGTTCTCAGCCCGCGGCGCGGCGAACTGCCATCTCACATTATCGAGACTATATCTGGTGCGCTGTCCCTGCATATTTACCTGTCTACCTGCCTGTCTTCCCGTCTACCTGCCTACCCAGCCCTTGCCCATCCCATGCCTCAGCCTCTACCAACATCAAAATCCCCCCCCCAAAAAAAAAGAAATCCCACCACCCATTATTAAAATCGCCCCTTATTACATCCATCCCTTTGTTAAACCGTCTCCACTCCCCCCTTTAAAACCACAACACCGCATTAACACAGCCGCCTCTTTTCCTTTCGCCACCATACAGGCAACATCAATTTCCTACTCAAATACACAACGGGCTTCAAGGTGCTCGCCTCGCAAGTCTCCGTCATCGTCATCGACGTGCGGGGCCCCGACAACAGCGAAATCGGACACAGGGCCTCGGTCTGCGTGCACGGCGGGCCCGGCAAATTCAGGGTCGTGGTCAGCAAAGAGGTGAAGTGGGGCCAGAATGTTGTTGTAGGCCTCGGTGAGAAGGTGGATCAAGCTGTGAGAGCCATTTTGGACGGTGAGGGGAACGAGGGGTATGGCGATTTGTGAGGCATCGAGTGAGATGGGATGGGAGGGGAGAAGGGGAATGGGGAATGGGGCAAAGAAAAGAAGAAATGAAAAACAAAAAAAAAGAGGCGGGGAAAGAGAAGGAAGAGAAGAACAAGGGAAGAGCAAGGGGCAAACGAACGAACAAACGAACAAACGAACAAACGAATGAAACAAAGGAACCACTGGGAATAGACTGGAAACACTGCAAAACTGGGGCGGCAAAATCAAACGCGTCACGAGAATTACGAGATAACGATATAAACAGCTACAACAGGAGCCCTGGAGGCCCCACCTGACTGGCTACCAAACTGGCAACAGAAATGAAGAGCCAAAAAAAAGAAAACAAAAAAAATGCGTATTGATAGAGTGTGCTTCTCTCCCTCCCTACCCCTTTCTCTCTCTCTCTCTCTTTCTCTCTCTTTCTCTCTCTGGATGAATGACGCGTTCGTCAGATTAAAGCGTTGTCGAGTCTTGAATTCTGCATGTGAATTGTTTGAAGTATTGATTAGAGATAGCAATATGGATGGCTGGATGGTTGGTTGGTTGGTTGATCGTGTGATTGTGTGTGTAGGGGGATTGAGTGGGATGGGATGTACTCATCAAGCTCCTGTCTTACTTTACTGACTTAGTCCCCATGTCTCTTAGCCTACGCTTATTGGATACAAGGCAGTACGCATGGTTTCTTCTTCTTCTTCTTCTTCTTCTTCCTGAGGAAACTCATCCATACACATCTGCACAACAAGGCTCCAACCCCACAATCTTCAACCAGGGAAAGAAAAAAAAACACAAACGAGAGAAAAAAAAAGAGGCAGATAGAGTCTAAACGCGATGAATGGCATTACTCTAATACGGATACAGACACAGACACAGACACAGACAGAAGGGTTGAACGCTGACGCTGAATGAATCATGTTGAAGCAGACGCTGAACACTGACACTGATGCAAATTACAACTCCCCCTAATTCGTGCGCGCCCAGTCCCGATACCAATCCAAACACTCTGCGTTAGCAACACTCGCACTGGTTTTGACATTCAAGCCGCATAGGATCTGTTTGACGGCGCCTTCGACCCTGGTTTCAGTGTTAGTTTGAATACTAGACTAAATCCACACACACACACATATATATATATATATATGGAGAGATAGAGATAGAGATATAGCAGAAACGTACTTCTTCCCATTAGTAGTAACAGGGATTTCCGGGCATTCATGCACGAGAGCCGGGACATGGCGAGCGCTAAGCGCGTTTTTAATGCTGAGTTTAATGCGGTCGACGAGGGACGGCGAGAGATGGTGGCCGTCGGCCATTTTGAGGAACAAGACGACGGTTTCGTCCGAGTCTGTTTCGCGGCGGCGCCCGATGCACAGCGCATCGGCCACGTCTTCGGGGAAGTGCTGCAGAACCACGTTGTAGATCTCGGCGGACCCGAAGCGCACGCCCGCGGGCTTGAGGATGCCGTCGCTGCGGCCCAGCATCCACAGGCCGCCTGTGGCCGGGCTGAAGCGCACAAAGTCGCCGTGGTGCCAGATGGGCTGGTGCTGGGCGTTTTGGAACTGGTCGAAATATGATTTTCGGTACTTGGTCTCGCCGTCGGCGCCCCAGAAGGCCACGGGCTGGCAGATGAAGGGCTTGGTGCAGACTAGGTCGCCGGGCTCACCTGTCGACGAGATGTCGGCGCCAGTGAAGTCGTACGCGGCGATGGCCATGCCCAGGCCGGGACCCTGGATTTCGCCCTGGTAGACAGGGAGGAGCGGGTTTGGTGCGCCAAAGAGCGAGATGATGTCTGTGCCGCCGGTAATGCTGCCGAGGTTGATGGACGACGGGAAGGCAGAGTAGACGTACGAAAAGGTTGATGGCGCAAGCGGAGAGCCTGTAGAGTAGATTGCTTCGAGTTTGTCGAGAGCCAGTCCGGCGGCCGCAGGGTCGACGGACTTTTGCTCCAGGATAGACAAGTACTTGGCAGAGGTACCAAAGTGCGTGATGCCAAACTCGTCAATCAGCCGGTGCATGGCGAGGTCGTCGGGCACAGACGTGGATGGATTCGAGCTGTCTACATAGCGGAATGGTGAGCCGTCGTAAAGCACCAAGGTAGCCCCTGACGCCAATCCGCTGACGAGCCAGTGCCACATCATCCAGGTGCAGGTTGTGAAGTAAAAGAGACGCGACCCTGGCGTTATAGAGCAGTGAATCATGTGCTCCTTTTTGTGCTGGAGCAGGGTGCCAATGGCTCCATGGACGATACACTTGGGCGCTCCCGTCGTGCCACTCGAGTACAGGATGTAGACCGGGTGGTCTGGCGGGAGCTGCTTGAAAGTGAGCTCTGGCGTCGATTTGAGTGACGTGAAGGTGGCATAGTCGTACGCCTTTCCCGATGGCACTGGTAGTGAAGCCACGTCAAACTCAACCGAAGCAACTGTCGGGAAGACGACGACGGCGCGAAGTGTTGGAAGTTCACTGGCGATCTCAGTGACTTTGGGAAGAACTGGATGGCTGCGGCCATTGTAAAAGGCAGCGTTGTCCGCAAAGAGCAGTGCGGGCTCAATCTGCCGCAGTCTATCCAGCACAGCATGCACTCCGGTATCGGGGCTGACGGCTGTCCAGACCGCCCCCAGCGACGTCGCGGCGAGCATAGCTACCAAGGCATTCGTGTGGTTCGCAACATAGCCAGCAACGCGGTCGCCTTCCTTCAGGCCGAGTGACAGCATGCCGGCCTGGCACAGCTTCACCCTGTCTCGCAATTCCTGCCATGTCACCGTCTCTCGCGTAGTCTCGGTTGCGGCAATGACGGCGGGCGAGTTCGGGTCAACTTCCTGCGTAGGGAACAGCAAGTTCTCAGCAAAGTTCAGAGTCGTTCCCGCGAAGAAAGGGGGGCGTGGAAACATGGGAGCATGGGGATCAACCGCCTGGGCTTCGTAAGCGACGAGTACGTATTGCGCATAGGGCTACAACGGCGACTGACGGACGACGGCGTGCCATTGTGTCTCACGCCCACAAAGTCCCAAGTGTGCTGCCAGAAGGCGTCGATGTGGTCGATGCTCCATTGGTGTAGCTGGGGATAGTCGGATAATCCGAGGCCGTGTGTTCTATTCACCGAGTCCAGGAACCGGTACATGGGCGTCGACTGCGGCGAGGGGTGCCTCCACAGCAGCTTCGAGGCCGGCGACGTGCCATTGGCGCCACTTGTGCCGTTCATCGCGCAGGATTCTTGGTCGAGGTCGTGTGTCTATACACGGGCGCGGAGATGGTTCAGTCGCGTTGCAGCGGGATCGTCTTGGCTCTCACCGGGGTTCGGATGGTTATTTTTTGGAGGGTGGCCAGGCACAGAAAGGTCCCTGGCAGCGATCGGCTTCTCCACTGGCGGCCCACGGGCAATCATCGGCGGCGGCAGCGCGGTTCCCCACGTCAAACGTCACCCGCCCATGCGCTTGAGTCGTGCCTCTCAACCTCATCTCTTGTTTCCTCGCCAGCTCACCCCAGGAATCAACCATGCTTCCTCGACCGCCCGGCATCCCGCAAAGACAGCCCAGCGACTGACGCACGAATAAGGAGAAGATGCCAGGATGAGTCCAGCGCGCGGTGCAGGTCCTCTCCCAAGCGCCCCCACAGCATCCCAAGAGCGAGTCAAGCCAGCGGCAAACCCCCAACGGTCACTGAGCGTTATGTGTATACGCGCCGTGCCGTCCGCCTTGACGAGGAGCTTCGTCATGGATGGTTGACTCGTGTGAGCGCCATGCCAGGCATCTTCGAGGCTGATTTGCAGTCCATCCCAACAGCCAGGCTCACGCCACGACCACAGCATTCCAGCTCCTCAGTGCCAGTGGCTTGCCTCTTCAGCTGGCAGCAAAGCACCTCACCGCAATCCCTGCAAACCTTAATCCAGGCGTGTGGCGAGAAATTTGTGCCTGGCAGCGTGACCGAGAACCAAAGGCTGGCCAAGGATTCAGGACCAAGGATCCGGGACCATGGCAAAGACAAGTGTATGCAGGCCAGAAGCGGGCGAAATTTGCCTGATTCTCTTATCGGTTTGGGGCTATTCTGGTTGAGGCTAGGTGTTGCTCTGAGCAGACGTTTCTCTGACCGATGTACATGCTAGTCTCCTTGCCCATTTCCTATGCTACGTGGCACGCGTACATTTCATGGCGCCTGTCTGAAAGTCGTCGACCGCGTTTCCGCTCGCAAACGCTTCCCGCTTCCTCGCATCACATTGTCATTGTTATGTCACATCATACGAGCAATGTTGCTGCAAGTGGGTGCAGGCCTTGTCTCTTGGCCCCCAAATCTCTCGTCTATCATGCCCACCTCTGGTTGCCTTCAACCCCGCTTCTACGCTCTCTGGTCCCGTCTTTTCAGATCCACGCTTGCATCTTCAACTCATCACGGCGGATTGCGTGATCAAGGAGATCTTCCACATCACCATAACCCCATCCATCATGTCGATGCCGACGCTAGTGTCTCGGCAACATTTTGCCATCTGTTGTCCTTCCACCAAGCAACACTGTACCCATGCCATTCCCTGGCGTTATGGACTCGAGCGGACACTTCTTTGCCCATCAAAAGCTGGGCACTGCCCGCCTCGCCTCGAGCTCCTAGCGCAGTTCCTGTGTATACGATGACTAGACCCCGCTCAAAGAGCTGACCGTGTCATCATTAATCTAAACTCGAGGCCCTGGACAGCTTAATCCTCGCTAGTCACTACCTACAACGTAGCTGTACCTGCATTAGGCGATACCATGCATTCGGAGCTCAGACCCTCCCTGCCCTCATGTTCCTTCCGCCCTGTCCTGTCCTATCCTGTCCCGTCCTGTCTCTGGTAGTACAAGCCATCTCCGTCCGGGATCCGAGACCCACACCTGAAGACATGAAACGCTTTCATCAGCTGCTGCGATGGGCCGCCGCCATGCTTTCTCCGTCTGGTCTTCAGAGGAGCAGCGCCCCCCACTCATGAGGGATCGGCGTGTCTTGGACAAGGGTCAGCACATTTCAAGTCGCATATATCAAATTTGGCGTAGAAAAAGCTGCCCTGTCCTTGTAATTACATGGGAATAGCACCTGCCAAGTCACAGCTCCCACAAGCCTTACGACGGCTTGGGCGTAGCTTGACGACTAACTACGTCGCAAGATTGTGGGAATGCAGATCATGAAGAAACCCGGGCAGCTCTTGAGTCAATACAACAGTCTGTTATCTGCCCCATTGATGTTTAAATAGGCTCAACGCTCACTTATTCTGCGTTACTTGCAACGGCACGGCACCCATTATTCCAACAATCCTCACGCCCCACGTGTGTCTGAACTCTCCCCCATATTGAGAGCTGTTACTTCCATATTTCCAAGCTTCTATGTATGTGGCACTATCCGACGGAATCATCGCAAACTCCAAGGGTGATAGAGTCAAAACTAACCTGGCCAAGATACACTGCAGAAGATATGGAAGGCGTCAACGGAAAGGCCGGCGGCGGAGCGAGACACAACGATATCTCTGTCAAATTTTGCGACCAAGGGCAACCTCTGCCTACGACACCCTTAAACCCTACAACGCCTTCGCCCTCTGCATGCCCATACCACTTTGTCAAGCTTGAAACGCCCTTGCTCCAAAATATTCCTCCGGGTGTGCACCCTCTCCAACAACTGGAATACACGCCACTCTGCGACCTTCCCGTGGGCATATCCGGGGACTGCAATGTTGGCACTGCGGCCTCTGCTGGATGTGCCTGTGTGTACAATTCTAACATGTTGAACGACGCAATGTTCCGCGAGCTGGATGCCATGACCCAGGAACCAAAGGAAAAGGAAAAATCCCCGGCCTAGCGCCGCTACTCGGTGGTGTCAGCCACCCCAGCCTTCCACCTTTTCATTTGTTCGAGCTGCGGGTGATTCTTACGAGCATATGGCTCTCATGATGGTCAGAGGATTTGATGCTTTTTTTTCTTCAACACTGTATTACTTCACTCCTTGTTTCACTCTGTAGTTTAATCAAAGATATTTCTCCTGTCAATCTGCTACATCGCATCATCACATATGCAGCAACGTAATTCAAACCCCTTTCCACATGTCCACAGGCACCTGGTTCAAAGTGACAACGTAAGACCATCCCCTTATTTCCCTTGCTGTTCGAAAATCATCTGCCTCCCGGAGCAGTTGCACATATGCTGCATTGCCGATCCACTTTGGAAGCAGAGGTTGAAACTCCAACGCACCTTAGCAGCTCCGATTCTCAACCCCAACCCCAATCTGACCGTTTTTGGCCACACGTATGCAGGGGGTCATGCAACCCCCGGTAGGCCTGTGGCTGAGTGAGACCCCATGACCATCGTCCTCCAACAACGCACCCAATCTCGTTGCAGTATTCTCCACCGGTGAGCAACATGAACGCTTCTCGAAGACCTGTTCTGCATGGCTGAGGCCCCCGTTGCTAATGCACCGCCTTTCCAACATGGCCGCGTGATCAACTCTTAACCGACATCAGTCGGGCGTCGTTCCCCATGCTGCCTCCAAATTCCTACACGCACGCCTGTCTCCTCTAGCATCCGAGACTACCGATATGGCTCGCTTCTTCGCTCCGCTTTCTGTGCAAGAGACATTGCACGGTTGGACGCCAAGAACCGCTACGTAACCGGCTGATATGGAAAGCAGCAAAGAGGTGTCAGCAGAGTTGATAAGCAACATGACGCGACATGCCTGACCCAGCTGAGCTTGGCTGGCTAGATAAGTCGGAACAGAAAAAAAAATCGACCGCTTTTTTTTTCACCAGACACCGTACTCAGGAAGCACGCGCCACTCTTACCAACCGTTATCATCCTCGGAGTGCGGTGCAGGGGCCAGGCAGGGCAATACTTCAAACTCACGTCAACCCCAAAGCCGGGTGGTAAAGACAGCGACTTGTGTCATGCGCCCCTGTTGCTATACGCAATCGAGGAATGACATGCAGGGAACAAGCTGTTTAGTTTGGAAGAAACTAGGCCCAATTTTCGCCAAGCGCACAGCAAGGACGAAAGTAATCTTCAGCCTTGTCACTGACCAACAAATAGGGCCACACTGGTTAATATCGGACCATGGAGAGAGTTCAGAACAATGTGGGAATGCAGACTGGGATTAGTGCTCCCCTCTACGTCGAGATCTACAGTCGTTCCTGTCTCGCCAACGGGTCCGCAGCCAATCGTTTCGACATTTATTTACGTGCCCAGCAGGGCTGCTGAACGGAGACGCACACCGCGCAGGGGGGTTGGGGGTGCCAAACCTCCGTGTGCCTCGACGCAAATTTTCCCGCGCCCAAAGCACTCTGGTGGCTGAGCTGGGCGTGTAGGAAACGTCTTTTCCAAGTCTCATCCGTTGATCGCTGTCGTGTCGGAAGACGCGGCAGGCGCTGTGTGTTTCATTCACCGCTTGATTCACACCAGCACGCCAGCAAATGTCCGAGTCGCACATCCTTGTATCCAACTGCATACTTTTCTTACGTGCCTACGCACCAAGCAACGCCACACGCCAAGTCCAAGCGGTTTCCACTGCCCTGTATACGAGATGCGTCGAACCCAGAACTCAGTGGTAGGTATGTTGGCGGGGGCCTGATTGACGAGACATAGTACTTAGCGTCAACCCAGACCGCAGTCGTTCCATACCCGAAAATCGTCTAGTTGCTGACTTGTCAAACCCAGAAATGAGAACATGCAAGGAAGGCATCTCAGTTGTAGTTTCGGCTTGGGCGCTGATGTACTACGTACATACTTGCAGTATAGGCACGGGAACTCCACAAGCACCTTTTACGGCCCGATAACGCACCGAATCGCTCGACGACATTACGTGCATGGAGGTGATTTACATGGCGCGGAGGTGGGAGAGAAGCCGCACCCTGGTCCTGTGGATTCCGCGGGAACGCTGGGTGGGGGTTGTAGCACCACAGCGCGATGCAGCGTTCTGCCGTTTGGCGCCAGATGGCCGTGGCATGGGCATCACTGGGGAGTGGATTATGCATCTGAACACTGTCTCGAGACTGGCAAGGCAGAAGTGCTACTGCCTGCCGAGTAGTATTTGTGCATGGTCTCAGGTAACTCGGTAATTTTGTCTTCGCATGTTCAAGGCTGGGTTTCAGCGATCAAGAAACTCGTTAACGGCTTCTTTTACAGTCTCCCGCGAGATCCAGGCTCATCACCATAGTCAGTCAAGTGGTCAAGGCCACATGGCCGTGGTCCTGCCAGTCCAAGAAATTCTGAATCGTGTGATCCTCACTTCCAAATGGGAAGAATTTCAACCAGCAGCAAAATCCACCAGGCTCCTATGTATGTATGTACCATCACCCCAACATTGCAGCCTACAAACAGCAGCCTCCACAAGCCGAAACCTCACCCGCATCCGCTATCTGACCACCATTGTTTTTTTTTCCGCAAGCCGCCCGATTTTGCAAATCGCTATGCCGAACAAAAGTAGCAACTCCTCATACTATGGCCCGACTCACCTCGGAAGACCCGAATGCCCGACTTACGTTATTCCCAGGCTGCCAGTCAGCCTAGTCTTTGAGAACCTACGCGAGGCGGGCCACACGATCACTCTTTTTTTTGCTGTACTGACAATACGTACTTGTTGGGTGCTACCGAAGAAGCCGCCCGTTTTCTCATTGGACGAAAAAAACAACCTCCCCAGCACAACGCATGCAAATGATTCAAGTGTGTAGTATGTGGCTTGGAAACCCCCCCGGAAAAAAAAAGAAGCTGCCAGTAGCATGCATGCATGCATGCATGCAGCGACGATTGTCGCGCGGAAGTCTGCCCGGAATCCTTTGCCCACACCACATACATACATATGTACAAGTACGACACTGCCAGTGTGACTGCATGCCCCGGTGCTACTAGTACAAAAGGTATGTAGGTAAATTGCTCGCTTGCGCCCCCCCTCCAGCCCAGTGCCGCGAAGCACCCCCCCTGCAATCTGCAATCTGGCGTGCATTGCCCGCATCTCACGAGGCTGGCTCGCGCATATAGATCCGCGCATCCGCGCGAATTACCTGTGCACGAAACCTGCTGCATTGGGGCTGTACATGGGCAGGGAGCGCGAGAATCGTTGTCTGCATTGAGGTGTTTTCCCGGTGCCGCGCTGGGGGGAGGGAGCTGGTGACTGCTGTGACTGCTGTGCCTGATTGCATGGGGTAGGCTTCCGCCCTCCCCCCCCTTTTTTTTTGGAAGGCCTGAGGCACTGGTTTGAAAGAGCTTGGTGGGCGTAAAGCTTGGAGGTGGGCTGTATAAGTAGTTCGCTTGGGAGAGAGAGAGAGAGGAGGGAAGATGCAGGGAAGGCTAATCTGCTACGTACTTATCTGATTGTTCTTTGTTTTCTGGCTTTTTTTTCACGCTTTGCAGTGTCCCATGGCTGCTTCGGATTTTTCGGATGGTGCTATGTATGCGGGTACACGTGCATCGGCTCATAGTAGTGATAACGGAGCTACTTCTCAGTCTTGTCTGGTTTCTGATGGACCAGAGCCTGGCTATGTCAATGCGGCTGTGCGCCACTCCACTCACAAGAGCGACAGTGACGTATCCTGCGTTGGAACGTGGACTAGCAAATTCCACGGTGAGGATCCTGCCTCCATCTCATCCTGTACTTAGGACCCTCATACCCCCTTTTCTTTTCTCGCGAGTAGTGCTGATGCTTTTCAGTGCCGCCTAGTCCAGTCCACAGCGATTGCATGCGCCATCGCAGTATCCACGAAGCCTGTCTTGATTCAACGGAGCATGCCAGAGTTGTAGAGCTTTTGTCAGACACTGACGCGAGGGACTTGATAAGCGCTGTTATGGAGAGGGAGATGAATACTTGGGTCATCCTGTGTACATGCAAAGCCGGTATCGAGCTGGACAGTCAAGGAAACGCAGCTACAGTGCGGATGAAGAATGCTACGGCGACATCGAAAAAGGCTTCCAATACCACAAGATAGCCATTAGTAAGTCATGGGGTCCATGTATGCCTGGTGGGGGGCAGTGCGCTGATACTGGATGTAGCATGAAGGCACCACCGCCGGGCACGAGCAGTTTTACATCTTTTCTTTCATATTTTCTTTCTTTTCAAGAGATAGAGCGGCGGGTTATCACTACATCATAGACCAATACCAATTCCACCTTTTTCTCACGCAAACATGCTACCTCTAGAACGCGTGTGGCCCCTCTCCATAACCGCCTTTGTGAATTCCGCCGGTCCCCCATGAGAAACAAGCTGTCTACCCAATTCAAGGTACCGTGCCATAAACAGCTCCCAGAGCATTTCATCTTGCTTATTTGTGGCGTTGGGACGAGGATAGTACGGGTCGTTGACCCAGAGGCCATCGACTGGCATCTTGATTCCCTGTTCACCGTATTTGAACCGCTTGCACTCGTTAAAGTCGAGCAGCCACATGCATTCGGCTCGCTGGTCGAGATTGAAATCGTGAATTTGGCGCGCTGTGTACTTTGTAGCGTTCAGAATCTCTTCTTCGGTTGCGTGCTGAGCAACTGCAGCACGGCAGCCTAGAACAAATTCCACGTCATTCGCATCGATGCCAGCGCTCCAGTGCAGCAACGCCAGTGCCTCGGCCATGGCAACCGTGTAGACTTTGGGGTCCAGGCTCAGGCGCTCCATTTCATCCACGTGAAGCGGGAAGTTGCGAAGTCGGATTTTTGAAGCGTCCATTCTCGAAGCGCTGCGTCGTCCTAGGTAGAGCCGTACCAGGCAATCTTTGTTTTCGAACTTGTATAGGAACCCGGTTTTGTTGCGCCTGGTTTCCTGGGGACACAGTGTGTCTACGATGGCTTCGCGTGTGGAGAGCGGGACGGGGGGAATGCGCTCGGATATGAGACCGAAGTTGGGTGTGCGTGTGTCGTTGGGAAAAGAAGCGGATCTCGAATGCCAGAATTTGTCGGTCTGGGGATCTACTCATGCCTCGCAGCGAGGAATGTGGATGGCTGGTCGGCTGGACCCCGTGGCTTCAAAGGTGTTGGAGACAATGTGGTGGATCTGCTAGTCGGTGAAAAGCTCGTTTTCCTTGGAAGCGTTGTTTAGGATTTTGATGACCGTGTTGGTGCCATGCAGTGCGTAGACGGTACCACATTGGCCCCGGCCGATTTCACGGCAAACTGGCTGAGTTGTGGTGTTCATCGCCATGTGGAGGGGAAGAAGTGCTGAGAGGGAGTGCTGGATATGAGTGTCGTAAATGCCTACATATTACTTTGACGTGGTCTGTTGACAAGACAGCTGTTTCTCAAACTGATACAGGTGCCTAATGATGCAGTATCTTTCAGGCATCCAGCGATACGTGTTAACATGGAAATGAGGGCAAATCAATGGAGCAATGGGTATTGTCACACCTTGGATGGGTCAGCTAGAAATATTCTGGTCCTATGGTTCCAACCATGGACGAATTCTAGTGCTCGGTGAGATCCACAGTATCTTTTCAGGTGCTACCCTATTCTAATAATTGCTAGCACGATGATATTCACATTGGAATGATAGACATAGAAGTACAGAAATCCTGATGCCTGTTAGGCCTTCTTTTGCGACGTATACTACGCTTACAACAACAACAACAACACTACGATTTGACATAGCCGTAGAATAGCGTTCTGGATATTATCTCTTGGTATATCCCAATATCACTTGGTTCACTTTCTTAGTTGAAACGAAGAGGCGTCTCTAAGTAATAATACATCGGTGTATAGCCTTTGAAAACTGACAACACTGTTTTCTGGCTGTTCGCATAGCTGATGCGCAATAAAAGCCCCCGACGCACATCCCGGCACACGCTCTGGCATATAACAGCAAAGCTTTTGCTTAACAGAATATCGTCAGTATAAGGGAAAGCTTTTGATATAGCCCGGCGTATAAGAAAAGGGCCTAGCGCATAATAAAAGGGCCTAGCATGCACCGAGGTATGTCCGCGTATAGCTTCAGCGTATAGTCGTTCAAACAATTCGCGCACAGCCTTTCACACAGCTTGCTAAGCTTTTATATAGTCTTGTCACGTAGCTTGTAGTTAGCCTTTTGCATAGGTCTTCGCACAGCCCTTTGCACCGCTGCTTTCTGCTGACGCCTCTGGCCAAGCCCACCTACCCCGCCGTTCAGCCGGCCAAGCCACACCTTGTGTCCCCGCCTCGCTCATTGCTGTGGCTGAACACTCCACCACCGACTACCTATCCCTACCCAGCACATAGTCATCATGGCAGACCTAGTATCTGGTATCGCAAAGCTCAATCCCTTCTCCAAGAAAGTCATCGATGATGAAGACGAGGGTGAGGCCATCGACGCAGGAACTGTGGCAGGCGGCGGCCACGCATTGCGAGAAGCCCAGGTCACCAAAGACCAGCTCCGTATCAGCCCAGCATTACAACACTATATTTCCGAGAACGGTGTTTTGCTAAGACCGGAGTCCGGCTCAGAATCAGAATGGAACAGTGCGTTGCGCGAATTGCTCAGCAAAAATCATGTCAACATCCCTCGAGAACTCATCGACAGAAACCATCCACTTCCAGAATACTTCATCAGTTCGTCGCACAACACGTACTTAATGGCCCACCAACTCTACGGAGAGTCGCACGCAGAAGCATATGAAATCGCCCTTCACACTGGATCGCGTTGCGTCGAGATTGATGCTTGGGACAATGACGAAAACAAGGACGAGCCAAAGGTTACCCATGGCTACACGCTCGTGTCCAACATTCCTTTCCGCCAAGTATGCGAGACAATTCGCGACGTTGTCGACAAGGAATCCGCAAATGAGGAGAATGCTGCGCCTATCCTAATCTCTCTGGAGAACCACTGCGATGCTCATGGCCAGCTCCGTCTAGTGCAAATCTTCGAAGAGGTCCTTGGCCCCCGGCTTCTCAGTCAAGAGGTGCGGGACAAAGGCAAGCGCGAGCAAAACGACCCCAGCAAGCACGAGCATGTTACCCTTGCCGAGCTTGGGAATAAGGTGGCCGTGATTGTCGAATATCACCTACCCAACGAACCGGAGACCAGCAGCAGCGAGTCGAGTTCTGACGAAGAGCACAAGCAAGCCCACGATGCATATGTCGAGAAGAAAAAGACCGCCAATGCTGGTGTAATCATCCCAGAGCTAGCTAGCCTGGGGGTATATGCGCAGTCTGTTAAGCCCGTCAACAACTCATGGTTTGAAGGCGAGCTTGAAAATGCGCCTCACCACCAGCTCATCAACGTCTCTGAAACTGGTCTTCAAAGCCACCTGCCAACCCACAGTGCAAAAATTGCTCGTCACAACGCTCACCACCTGATGCGCGTATACCCCAAAGGCACCCGAATTTCGTCTAAGAACCTAGCTCCCGTTCCATTTTGGAGTATCGGCGCGCAAATCTGCGCACTCAACTGGCAAACCTTCGGCGGGAGCTCACAAATCAATGAAGCGCTCTTCGCTGGATCAGCCGGATATGTTCTCAAGCCTGCTGCTCTACGCGCTGGTGGTTCCGGGAACCTGAGCACTGGCAGGCGGAAAAAGCTTCGCCTCCACGTCGCTGGCGCAACTGACATTCCTCTCCCTCAAGGCCGTGACACCAACGATATCAAGCCCTACTTCACGTGCACGCTTGTCCATCCCAACGACCTCAACAACATGCCGCCGAAGCGCAAGACTGCCGTCTACAAACCCCACAAACTGACTGGCTTCATGCACAAAGACAATTCACCCGCCACAGACCCCATGTGGAAAGAAGTGCTGGAATGGGAGTATGACGACAACGAGTTGGTTTTCCTGCGCATGTTAATCAAGAGCGACGACAGCTTCTCACGCAATCCAATCTTTGCTGTCGCAGCAGTGCGACTGTCGTACGTTGCGCAGGGATGGGTTTTCGTCCGCATGTTGGATCTGGGTGGCCACGAAACCAAATGCACCGTGCTTGTCAACTTTGAGTTTTCAGACGTGTAGAAGCTGGCTGGGATGAGTGAAGGGATAGCAGGGCGAATGAAGTAATGGCTAGGGCGACTGGGGAGGAGGATCATTGTGCAGATGTACATAGTACATGCTATGTATTCCGGCGACTGATTTCTCCGTTTCGAATTAATCCTTTTACGCAACATGTATTCTCCAGACGCATTCTTATCCTACAGACCACTCTGCCCTCTGCTGCTCCAACCAAGTCCCTACTCCAAATGCACCGTCTGCCAAGTCCACACCTGCTTTGCTGCCCCCCGCTTATTCGCCATCAACAGCCGTTGATCATACCCCATCCGACGCGTCTCCAAAACGCCTCAAACACCAGGCCTTTGCACCAAAACAGGTAAACACTCCCGATGCGACCCTTTAGGTGTACTCTCACCCACCATTCCGCGCATCCTTTCATGTCGGTAGTGGGCATGTCTTCTTTCCCACATCCACACATACGTCATTTCCGCAGTGCACGCATCACATTTCGTGTATGATTTGCGGGGGGGGTTTTTTTCTCTCGGCGATCACCACACAGCAACAAGACCACCACACCACCACACACGGCTAAAACCCTACCGCCTACATCCACACAGCACGATAGCAGGTAGATGGCGCAGTGCGCAAGTGCAAGTGAAGCGGGGAACGGCCCGTTCGCTGGTGTGGATGTGGATGTGGATAATGGCACTCGGGGCCAGGGTGGGGGCGGAGAGAACGACGTAAGTAAGTAGCCCACAGCCACAGCTGCTGCTACACTTACACACATACTTATCCTTGCTTCCACGGCGCGACAACCATGTCTCGTCTCTCTCAGTAGAAAAAAAGAAGAAGAAGAAGAAGATGCAGACAAGAAGCAAAACCACGTCCACACACACACATACATACAAATAGTGCCTTATCCCGTCCTAGTCTGGCGTGCGTAAAACAAAAAAGGGGAACGAGCTTCCCGTCTAGAAGATGTTCAGCCGCGCACTTGTTGATGCAGGATTCCTCTTTCTCCCCCCCCCCCCTCTGCATGTGCATGCATCTGCGCCGCTAGGTGTACTGCCACGTCTAGTCTGTGGCTAGATTGCGGTCGTGCATGTGTAGTAGGAACGTAGGAATGTAAGGTGTATGTGTATGTATGCCTGGAAATGGGTAGCGAGATAATGGCAGTGCATCTACACCTACACTAGAGCAAGGGAAGCGGGCGGGCGCAAAGGCCCGTGTTCTAGGTGTGTCTAAGTGGCAGAACGAATCGTGGGGTCTGGAGCGAAGACATGATTCTGTGGTTGGTTGAGGGCTCGGGGGGTTACGCCGCAAAGTTTAGCTTGCCCCGTGACTTTTTCCCGACGTGCATGGTGCTATGTTGCGAGTTGCATGAGACGACAAGTTGGTGGGAGCACGAGTGTGATTGGGCGGGTGAATTGAAGCGCAAAGAGGCATGGATAATCTAGATGGCTGAAAGTGCGAAAGCAGCGTTGCACGTTACGTAGCTGGTGTGTGGCAAAATTTTTTTTTCTTCTCCCCTGGTGTGGTAGCAAGAGAGACTAATGGAGGTTCTAGAACTTTTCTTCTTCTTCTTCTTCTTCTTCTTCTTCTTCGTCTTTTTCGGCCATGTAAAAACTTGCCGTGGACTACGGTGGTGGTATTATCGAATAAGCGTCTCTCTACGTGTAAAGCTGCCGAGATGGCTCAGGGGTATCAAACTTTTTCCTCGCCATTCAGCGTCTTTTGTCGTCTCTCGTCCACCTCATGGGTTGGCGGCAAACCTTCTCTTTCCAAGATATGGTTTGGAACTACAGCCCCTTTCTCGGTTTTGTCGTAGTTGGTGTCCGTCATGTGGTAGATGCCCAGGTAGTAGAAGCTTGCTATGCCCATCATGTAGAACAGTAGTATGCCTCCTGCCTCTGCGATAAACGGAATTTTGATGCTGTCGAGGCCAAAGCAAATGGCCTCGCCGGCCCCGAGTACACCCCGGAAAATGCCGACATAGTGCGTGAGCTTTTGCGGTGAGTTGGTTAGTGCGCCGATCCAGTAGTACACTATGTTATGCCAGAGCTGAGAGAAGACCCAGTTGAGCATGAATAGGACAAAGACCCAGCCGAAACTATCATCCTCCCAGTCGGTAGGATGGATTGGTGGATAGTCGCGGTTGTAATTGCGAGTGCGAATCTGACTGGTTAGTAGGTTTACTGAGCCGTAGATCGGACATCATACCATCTCCCAAACCCATGCAATGACAAGAGGAACACAAACACCAGTGAGCCCAATCAATCCACGCTTGCGTCGGCCCCAGCCTGGATAGTCAAGAACCCACTGCAAAGCCCATCCTGCTGGAATCTGCAAAACGACTGCAATAAATGATAGCAGCGAGCGGGTACGGAGGTTATTGTTGAACGCTTGTATAATGTAAGCAACCTAGCATGTGATTGGGTGGGACGACTTGCCGTTGACTGATCCGCTGTACACCAAGAAGCCCTCGGCTGGAAGAAAGGCGGGCAGCATCATGATCAGGATTGGGTCTGTGAAAGCGAGCAAGTTGGATTTCAACTCGTCCCAAGCGCCTCTTGGCCGATCTACGGCTACCACTGAGCCGTCGTCTCTCGTGAGCCGGTGCGGTCGCAGCAAAGTCAGGCAGAGCAAACCACCAACGACCATGATTGTGATGAATGATATGTATACCGATCGAGGTACGCCGGCGACCGTGTCGGAATCTCGATTGATGATTACGGGAATGATACCGCTAATGACGGACCCAAAGGCTTGCATGTTCATCAAGATGGTGGCGTACGATCCTTTCTCGCTCTCCTCAGGATAGCCAGTTGCTACATACCCAGCGGTGATGAACACCATACCTGCGCCAATACCAATAATGGGACCAGCGGCGTACGGATAGCCAGTCTTGCCAGTCTCGTCGTAATACCAGAGCGAGCCGACATAGACAGCGTAGGTCTGAACGCCGATACACATGGTAAGGCCAGGGCCGAGTTTGTTCAAAATGGAACCGCCGAAAGAGGACGAAAAGAACCACACTGTTTCTCGGTTATTGGTATTCCAGGATAACAGGTTTCAACCTTTACCTGCACATAGTGTTGCATTGACCACTTGGACTACTTGGGCTGAGTCTGGCTTTCCACCGCCAGCACCCAGCAGATTAAGAGCAACGTAGATACCAGCCGATGAGCCAACGCCCAAGCCAGCAATCAGCATCTGGACCCACGGGCCATGGTAACGGAATTGTGGGAGGTTTAGAACCCCCATAACGCTTCACCCGAGAATAAAGTGCAAGTAACGCGACGCGGGAGTAGGCAGGAGTTGAACTGGAGAGAACATGTAAATTATTGAGGAAAGCCAAACTGAGCAAGAAACGGACCGTAACGTGGGGAGCGGTAGCTTTAAACTACCAACCTTCGTGGACCATATCCAGGTCTCGCAGGGTTAGCAGTGGCTGAAGACAAGACTAAACACAGCCGCCGCAGGCCAGATAATCGACTTGAGATAGGCAAGGGTTCACGACGGGGCGAAGCGTTCACCGATAAGCAGCAACATGCCACAAATACCAGGGGTTGCATTATGTGGCGTCTTGGGGGTGTCGCTGATCTGCCCATTGGCAGGGAAAACGTCACTAGGCTGTGGATGTAGATTGAGGCTAGCGCGCAGAGTGGCCCGACGGCGAACCACAACTTTGGTTGTAACGGCTGGCCCGACATTAGTACTTATGTACAGGTCCCTGTACTAAGCTCGCTGACTCGCTGGGTGCCGGCTCCAGACCTGTTGAGAAACGATAGGTAGCGAGATCCGGAAAGATGGAGACTGAAAGTTGGAGAGGCCGAGATCCGCGCTGCGCGGTGCATGGCTGAAACAAGATCTAGACACGCTCGGCAATTTGGATGACTGGTTGAGTGCATCAAAAGCAGTGAAAAGAGGAAAATAGCGGCGAAGATCGCTACATTTTGAAGACGCTCGTGCTCAACAATGTGCACGCTTGTGAATTGCCAGCTTCCCCGCTTCGCCAGAGCTGCTCGAGCAGTCAGCCAGACCTGCGACGAGCACTGAGCTTGTGCAGCCACTGGCTGTTTTCGATAAACCCACTAGGACTCGCCAGCCGGCCCGTTCCCTCAGGCCGCCGTTTGCCTAATCCCAAACCTGTCGACAACTGACGTTGATGCGCTTAGTACCCATGTAGCCCTTCCATTTCTTGTAGGCTTTTTCTTCCGCCGGGGTTGAGCCAGGTGTGCCGACTGGCCAATTGGCTAGATGGGGAGGGCATGTGCTGGGGATACAGCGTGCCATTGCATGCCAGGCCCATCGTGCATCGCCTGTAAGATGCACGACGTCACCGCTGTGGACTCGAATGGCGACACTCCTCGGCGCATTGTCGCCTTCTCCATCGTCCTCTCCTCTTGCCATGATGAATATGCCGTCACACCCGACGCTAAAGCTCGCAAGCGCACGTTGGCATTGTTCGCTAACATCGCGGTGTACAGGCATGAAGTCTTTGGCCGAGTACACCAAGACCACGCCAGACTCTGGCCGGATGTGAGGGAAAAGACCAGTCACTAGCCGGGACAAGTCTGCAGGAAACGGGGTAGCGTGCTTCGCGTAGCTGCGAGTTGGCCAGTCATACTGTTCTCCAAGAGTAAGCCATCGAAGTTTGGTGTACAAGAACTGCTCGTTGTTCAAGAGCTTCTGCTTTTCGGATGCTTTTGGCACAAGTGAGTCTTTTGGGGCAGATCGTTCGCGAAGGAAAAAGCTACTGTCGAACCGTACTGCCTCTGACGTGGGTTGGGATGGATAAGGAATGTCATAGTCGGCCTGAAGGTTGATCTTGTGTCCGGGATCAGCCAAATCTCTATGCATCAAGCATGACGTGAACAAGACTTGTGTCTCTGGAGGGAGAAGTCCCGAAATGACCTGCAGGCCGGGGAAATCGCGGTGTTCGAAGATCTGCGCGTCTTCTGCAGGTACCGATAGTGGTTTACCACCTGCGTAAGCCTGGCAAGCAGCTTCGATCTGAGCTGCAGGAACGACACCTGCAGAGCGCCAGATATCTTTGCGATCTTGGTCAAACTCGTGGCGCTTATTCAGGTCAAAAATGTTTGGATCATTCTCCAAGTCGGCTCTGCGCATGCTTTGGTAACGCCAATGCTCCCTCTGGATGAACTGAGGCGGCGTGGCATGGGTATCATGGTGCACTGATCCTTTCTGCATAACCATGTTAGCCAGACTCGTTCAGTCCGATCGAGTGACATACGAACGCGTTCGGTTGCACCTGTCGAGAGATCCATGGTGAGAGGGTAGCCACCAAGTCGCGGTGGGCAAGGGCGTGCTGGTATACTTGATGGAAGTTGTCTCAGCACTGAGACATGCAATCGTCTCAGAATTATCATCAACACGAAGGGATAGGGGACAGAACACAAAATTAGATGGGATGTTTGGGCATAGTGGAGTGACTACAGGAAAAGATTGGATGCGGCAAGTGACTTGTGCGTTGCTTATCGATAAGCGCCACCGCATGCTTCTCTCCGTTGTTAGCCTCATGAAGTGGCTGATGCGGATTCGTCTCTATTAGTATCACCGCAACAAGTATCTTAATAGGGCGAATTGAAAACACTAAATGGAGGTATCGATATCAGGGCATTTACTGGCGCATGTTTAGTTGCCTAGACATCTTCGAGCACCATGATTCTTGACGGTAGGCGAATTGAGCCTGCAATCTGCATACTTTTCATCAGAACCCACAATGTCGTTACGAATAAGGTACACAGCACGTGAGTATAATAAAAAATTTACAGTCAGCATCAACTATAGAATCCTAGAGGTCATATCACGCCATTATGTCACCTACTAAATTACACAACACCAAATCCTCCATATCCTACCTCCTCCATCAACTCCCACTCCCCATACTCCCCCCCCCCTTTCCCCCCAAAAACAATATACACACCCTTCAATCCCGCACCTCCCTAAAACACAGCAATAGCCCCAGGCGGACTCCCAATCCCACCCTTAACATGCAACGGCGCACTCGTCAAGAAAAACGTATACCGTCCCATGTCCTTACACTTCTCACTCAGCTTCTCGAGATCCCACATCTCGCCGATGGGAGTGCCCCAGTGCACAAGCAGCCACTCATGCAAGCACCAGCCGTCGGTGAATTTCGGGGGCCACGCCTCAAACGCAACGTTATCTGCGACGGTGGCGGCGAAATGGCGGTCGTAGAGCCAGCGCGTGGTTTTCTCGCTGGCTTGAAGACCTATCGCGATGCTGTTGTCACAAGTACCTGATTTGCGCTCTGCGGCGTTGGCATTCCTATGTATGCGTCAGAAGGTGTCTGAGGATACGATACATATGACAGATGGTAGACTTACTCGTGCCACCGCACATATCCCGTGCGAATCAAGAGTATATCGCCCTGCCTGGTCTCTGTGCCCTGCCACGTAAGCGTAGCCTCGATCTCCTCAATGGGAATCTCATGTCTGGACACTGCACTCGGGGCCGTTTTTCCCGTCGTCTCTTCGTACCAGCGCAGCCAGTCGCACAGCACGCCGCGGCCCACAATCCCACCTCTCTCGCACCACACATGCGTGCCGTTGGTAATGCTTTTCTTGGACTCGGCGTGCGACAGCCCGTTGTAATACATGCTTGTTTTCTGGTGTGCAAAGTGCTTGAGGCTGTCCCACTGCGAGCCTGCCTGCGTATTGATGTAGACCTCATCGTCGTTTGCGACGAAGGCGGAGAAATCGGCGAAATCAATGTGCTTTTGCTCGAAGGGCTTGCGGTTGAAGCCTGGATACTGCACGTTGTGCAGTTCCCAGTCGAGCTGGATCGACTCGCCGGTTTGGATTTCCTGGGATGCGGCTTTGACGACGCTGGGTGTGAGCAGGTTGATTGCTGTGTTTTGTTAGTTGAGTATTGTGCTAATCCGGGAGTGGGGTTTTGTTGGTGGAAACAACGTACTTCCAACTTCATCCTTCTTCCCATTTTCGTCGAAAAATCCCCAAATGCTGCCTTGTGGCTGTATCAAAGTCAGTCCATCAAGTCCATCATCTCTCCCCGTCCAATCTACACAATGACGCAAGAAAGAGACTCACCATCCCCTCCACCTTGGGCAACTCATCAAAAGCCGGGAAGTGGTATTCCTTGCGACCCATTTTCCCTCGCTCCGTTCGGTTTCGTTTCGTATCGTATTGTCCTCTTATCTTCTCCTCTCCTAATCCACGAAGCCAACTTTTTACCAATCTCTCTGTTTTATTTCTCCTTCCTTTTCTCTTTCCCTATTCCAGTTCTCTCTCTCTCTTTCATGTACTATCCCTCTCACTTTCCAGCGCGAAAAAAATAAATAAATCCCGAAAATCTTGGAAAAAAAAATCTTAACCAACGCGACCAAAGCAAAGATATTCCCTCACCTTATTCATCGCACACACACACACACACACATCTCTTCCATCGATCTCATTTTATACACACATACACAACACGCCCATTCGATCCGGCGCCCCACACCGAGGTCAAGCCTATCCTCCTACCCCTACCCCTACCCCATCTCTACCCCGCGCCGTATACCCAAAAAGAAAATCATCACCCCTGGCCAAGCTCTCCGTTAGCGCTCCCCCTCGCGCTCCTCTTCTCTTCCCCCCTACCAAAATCCTATCAGCATTGGATAGGTGTAGGTACATAGATGCTATCCACACGCGGAAGCAGCACCGGCAAACGAGTCATGTTGGCGTGACCAATAAGCGTGCCGCAGCCCCGGTTTATGCGCGCATGGCCTATCGAGTAATGACGTTTGTGAGTGATGGAAAAAGCTGCAAAGTATGGTGGACTGTACTGTACTGTAGGTGTGTGTAGAAGAAGAAGGGGGAGTTGAGTTGGTGGATACATATGCTATGCTATGTACATTGAACGTCGTCCTTTATATCCCACCCCATCCCATCAATCCATCCCTCCATCGATCCATAGAACTCACCGTGTGTCTCTGTCTCCGTCTCAGTCTTCATAAACCCTTGCCCCCTCTCCTCCAACCTTCCACCCCGCCTCGCCCCCCCGGAATGACGTGGAAAACCCACATCCACACCCACACCCGCATCACACATCCATGCCCATGACCACAAGACCACAATCGCCATGACCAGTCCCGTAAGATGAAAGTGGAGCGAAGCCAAGTAGCGGGGTCTACCTAGTCCATGTCCGTATCCGTTGTCCGTGCCGCAAGTCATGGCCATTACCTAAACCCCCAAACCCTAATCCTAAACCCTAAACCATACATGTAGATCCTGCACCACCACCACAACCACGGCGAAGCCGCCGAAGAAACCCGGACGGATGGGCGAGTGAGCGAGTATGCAGGGATACATATAGGGCCAGGGCTAGGCCCGGAGCTAGGATTGGGGTTACTGTAGGATCAGGAAGTACATGTGGGAGGGGTATGTATGTATGGATATGAGCGGCCGACACGAAGTGCAAGTAGAGTAGACATGTGCATGCGCGGGCGGGGCAAGGAACGAGTGGTGCGGGTTAGAAGAGCCAAAAAAACAAAAGAAAAACAAAAGCAAAGAGCAAAGAGCAAAGCGCAAAGAGCAAAGAGAGCAGGGAGAAGAAAAGCAGAGTGAAAAGAGAAACAAGGAAAGGAGATTTCGATACATACATGCATATATAAACTTGGCGTTGTAAACCTGTGAGGTGTACTTGACATCTGTCTGTCTGTCTGTCTGTCAGTGCCAGTGTCAGTGTCGTTATTCCCATCCATCCATCCATACTGTATTGCATATTGCATGTTGCATGTTGCAAGTGTGCCAAAGTAAGTACGTAATCGGACCGCGCGGGGAAACATTGATTTATTCCCACATCCACACATCCACATCCACATCCACACACACATCCACACACACACACATATCCACACACATCCACACACACACATACTACACAGCCCCATCAGCTAGTCGCAGCGTCAGCCAAACTATATAAAAAATTAAAAAAAAAATTAAAAAAACAAACTTATGCGTGTACAACTATGTATGCGTATGTGTATATGTCTTACTTACTTACTTACTACCCACGCACGCAGCAAATTCTTTTTCACGTATACTTAAGTAGAAGACTTGGCATTAAGTATATTGATAAACCGAGGGGGAGGCGGGCTATATAGTACATACATACAATAGGAACTGAACTGGTAACATGATTATTATTAGAGCTCTTGAACCGGGCTGAACAAGTTTCGGGCTAACCACGGTGATTTTAAAAAATTGGGGGGGGTACTTAAGTATGTTGATCGCTGTGTTATGTGGGAACGCGGTGCGTGTGTAGCATTTCCTCAAAGGAGAAATGTACATACATGACACGCACTCGTGCTCGTGCTTCTATCTATTGACAATTACATCTGACATCATAATTACCAAGGTTACATTTTCTCTCCGCTCCCCCTACTAGTAGGTATGCACAGCTCAGCATAATCACACTGCCCACTGCTACAAACCAGTTCATGTGTCAAATTCAAGTTCAAATCAAATCAAATCAATGCATTAACTATTACTACAGGAAAGCGGCATCAGTACCAAGTTTTCATGACCTGCCTTGGCAACGGTCAACCCCAGTCCTCCCCATTAACCACATAGGCACATAACCATCATTTCATGTCTGCCGTGAGCGAAACCAAAGAACATCCGTTTACTCATGTGCGCGCGCATGCGCATTGGCGCAAACGTGGTATCATCCATGATCAAAAGGTAGAAAAGTCGTCATCGTGACTTGCAACCCCCAAAGCATACCGGGTATCACTGGTCGAGAACAAGCATCTAAACGCGGCCCTGGAAGACGGGGTTCTGCTCGCCGAGAGTAGTGTTGTACTGGCCAGTAGCAGGGGCAGTCGCAGAAGCCGGGTTGTTCAGGCCTGTAGAACCAGCAGTAGTAGCCGAGCCCGTCGTGTTGAACGCGTCGTCAATCTGAGTACCGAAGCCTGGGGCGGCGCCGGTAGCGGGAACACTGCCAGGAACGCCGCTAGTAGCCGGAGCACCGCCAGTCAAGCCCTGGTGGCCCGTAGTAAGACCAGGCTCAGCACCAAGGCCGCCGGCGTTAGAGTACTGGCTGTCGTACTGGTTGGTGGATGGGTTCATGCCCTGCGAAGCATCTAGGCCGCGAGAAGCATCACCGGGGTTGCCGTAGCCGTCTGGACGACCGTGGGGCTTGCGGGTGATCTTGCCAACCTGTGGGAGGCTCGACGTCTCCTTGGCTGAGCCAATAGAGAAGACGGGGCTCTCCCACTTCTCGCCCTTGGCAGCGAGCTCCTTGTACTCGGTCGCCTTGGACGAGATACCTCCGGGCAGCGAAATGTTCTTGAAGATGGAGTCGTGCTGCGTGACGGCCATGTTGACCTGTGTGTCCTTGGTCCGCTCCTTGACAGCCTCCTTCTTCTGCTTGCCTTGCATAAGGCGGTTCTGGGCAGAGTTGGCGTAGCGCTGGTACATGTTCTTGATGTTCTGGGGGTCGGGGTTGCGCTTGGCCTCGGCCTCAGCACGGTCAGCCTCCGTCTTGATGTCGAAGAGGATGCCGTCGAGCTGGTTGACAGAGTCCTTAATCTGCTTCTCCAAGACCTTCTGGATCGCAGGGCGCATGACCTTGAGGAGCAGAGGCTTGAACATGTTGAAGAGGAGTTTGTGGTTGCTCTTCTTCATCTTGATCTGCAGGTGCTTAATGTCCGACTCGACCTTGGTCACCTTGAAGAAATGTGTCTGCGCATCCTCGCGCGCCTTGTCGGCAGTCTCCATCTCCACCTTGAAGCTGAAGCCGGTGCCGCCCATGAAAATGTCCATGACACCCTTGTCCGTGATGGAGGGGAAGCCCTGCTTGCGCTTGATGTAGTACGACACGTCCCTGAGGTCCATCTGCACACCCGAGACGGAGAGCATGACGCGGTTCTTGTTCTTGCTCGTAATGGACTTGCGGCCCCAGCGCCAGTAGTTGTCTGAGCCAAACTCGAGCGAGTTGGGCGCGAGGTTGTCACCCTCGATCACCAGGTTTTCAACGACAGCGTCCATCATGGGGTCGCTGTACTCGATGCGCGGCACGGGAATGTAGCGGACATTCTCAAAGATGGCGGGGAGGACGACCTCAGTCAGGTCCTTGACAAGGTGGGGCTTGAAGACAGTCTTGCCGTTCTCATCGTGGCCCAGGTCGCGGAAGAGCTTGTTGATCGACTCGGCAAACTGCTTGTTCTGAGCATCAGCGTCAAACTGCTGGCCAATGAAGCGGAATTCATCAGCGATGCGGTCCGTGTGGCCTCGGTAGCGGCTGCGGAAGAAGTGGTGGCCGTCGTCGTAGAGCTGGTTCCACTCGGCGTTGAAGCTGTCTTCGAGGACAAAGCCCTGCTGCTGGAGCGTCTTGCGGATGAATTGGTTCATGCGCTTGAACCAGTTCCTCAGCTCGGGGTCCTGGTCGGCGTCCTTGTAGATCTGGTTAATAGACTCAATCAGGTCGTCGAATGACGTGTTGTTGGCGAATCGCTCGAGGAGAGTCTTCATGTTGGTCAGCCATTGGTTCTCTTGGAGGAAGCCTAGATTACGCACCCGGAGATTAGCTTTAGCAATGTTTAGTGCATCATTTTGATGCGCACCTTGCACAGAGCCCTTGCCCTGCATGCCCATGTTCCTGCCGTGGCCCGAGTATCGCTCAGCCAGTGTTAGCAAAGTCTCGATGGCGCGCTGGTAGTCGTGGTGGCCCTGAATTTCGACAACCATCTTCTTGAGGCGCCAGATGGTCTGCTCGCGGCGCTCCTCTGGCATCTTACCCCGAAGGTAGTTGTTGAGCTGGTCGCGGCGGGCGCGGGCCTTTTGCTTGTCTTCTTCCGACGTGTTGGCGTCAACCTTCTGCTTAGCCGCCTCGACGCCGCTGCGAACATCAACGCCGGTGGGCTGGCCCGTCTGGCCCTCCTGGGCAGCGAGCTCGGCAGTGTGAGAGGGATCGCGGGTACCCTGGGGGTTGGCGGCCTGGTTGACGTCCTTGGCTGCTTCGCTGAGCTCTCCCTTGGCCTGGTCGCGGTTCTTGTTGCCAAACGGCAGGCTGCTCTTAGCCTGGTTGCGGAGGTTCTCACGGTTCAAGTTGGATGTGTCGTGCCAGGTGTTGTCCTCGGCAGGCTGGTCCAGCTTGCTGAGCTGGTCTTGCGAGGGCTTGACGCGGTTTGCCGTGTTCTGCGCGGCATCGCCAGCCATGTCGCGGAGGAGAACACTGGCGTCTGAGAGAAGCTTCCTGAACTGGCCGTTGGAGATGAGTAGTGTGCCAAGAGTGCGCAGGCCGTCGAGAGCGTTGTTGCCGTCCTGCCTCGCCGTGTCCTTATCCACGGGTGCATTGGGACGGTTGGCCATGTTGCCATTGAGGTGCTCGGCCTGCCAGATAAAGTCCTGGAGGAGGTTGCCCTCGTTCTTGGTGAGAAGAAGAATCTTGGCCTGCTCAATGACGTTCTTCAGGTCAGTGACCAGACTCTGGCCCTCGGGAGAGAGCTTCTTGGACGGTGAGTTGAGCGCCCTGTGGGCCAATGCAGAGTTGAGAGCGACATCGATCTGGCTGTTGGATGGCACCTTGCCATTGGAGAAGGCTGGTGTTGGTCAGCAATTTGTTTGCACCGACGCGTGTGCTGCACATACCTTCGGCGATTCCGTATAGCTGCAGCTTGTTGTTGACGTCCTTCTCCTTCAGCTTCAAGTCCACCGGACCTGCATGGCGTTAGTACCAGAGCGGTAGAGGTGCGGGGCAGGCAGGGCAGGTGCACGTACGGTTTACGGCGCTCATGATGTCGATGTGCCTATGGGGGTATCAAGGGTGCGGGGGGGTATCAAAATTACAGACGCAGGGTCGGGAAAAAAACAATGGAACAGAGTAAGGTGAGGCGGGCGAGTGGGCGAGTGTGCAAAAGGGACTATTGGGTATCTGTGGTGTGAGGGAGGGAGAGGGCGGGCAGAAGCAGCTTTGTATTTGGGGCGGCGTCTGGGTCGGACTGGGTAACACGCGCTCGAGTGAGTGCAGCGACTACGTCACTCCGTCGTAGCTTCCCGCCTGGGGAGGTCTGGGCTTGGGACCACAAGCACAAGCGAGCAGCTCGTTGAACCTGATTGACCTGCTGGGCCTGCTGGGCCTGCTGGACCCCGCGACGCCCGCCTGCCCGCCTGCCCGCCATGCTCTCACTCACGCCTTCACCTTGTTGCTGCATGTCCCAAGCACGCCCGCGGACGGCCATGTCCCCATCCAGGGCCACCATTACGCACTCGCCGTCCATAGACACGGAGCCACACGCGCTACCCACGCTCAGGTATGACGAGTCTGTTTCGGCGCGTGTCTCGATCGGCGCCAGGTTTCCCAAAAGGACAGCAGCGACGTGCGTGCTGGTTGCGTCATGGCAAGCGCGCCGTCAGCCACAATCTCGATTCCGACTTATGCGAAATGTGGCGTCACGTTGCCGCCCGCCCCTCCGCTCATTGCGACACAGGAATTTTTTTTTTGGAACGCTGCCATTACACTGCAGCCGTAGCTTGGCTTCTGAGTTCTTCAATTCCTCGTCTGCCTTGGTATGACTCTCTGCTGTGCGCGCAGGTGCCGTCGCGTCGTCGCGTAGGTGGGCGTAGTCGTAGAGCCTTGCGCCACGCACATGCTGATACCAAGCTTTTTCTTGGCATTGCACTAGCGCGAGAGGGAGCTCTCGGTGGCCACGCCGCTCGCACGATGACGACGTTCGTTTCTCAGCGCCGTGCCTTTCTGCCTTTGCCCGCCCCCCTTCTTCGTTCCTTGTCCCGCAATTCAATGGGCCTGGCTGAGACGCGACCAGCGGCTGATGTGCCGACACGTGAGGAGCCATGCATACAGACACAGCGCCAAAAACCGGGAAATACGGCCTGACAAGGCCATTCCCGGAATCGCGCCTGGAGTCCTTTGTCCAGCCCTGCGCCGTCTCCCGCTCTTTGAGCCGATCCATGTGTCTGCGTGGATACTCGCCGCAGATCAGCCGATGCACTAGGTCTAGTCAATTTCACACTGTCTTTGAAAATATCCCGTCTTCCGTCTTGGATGAGCACCAGCTACACCTAGTCCGAGTACGCTGGCTTGATGGAGCCAATGAGCGCTGCGGCACGTGACATCCAACTCGACCGCAACCCGCAGCAACAACCACCATTGCCATTACTGTCCTATCGCATCCTGTATTCATCTCTCTCGTCAGTTCTCGCCCGTCTATCACGCCCGTATTCAGACCATTCATCACCCTCTCTTTCGCCGTGTCGTCTCCTATCCTCATGTCTTCGGTCCGACCTCTTCTTTCCCCACGAGTACAATTCTGCTTCGTCTCGGCTCAAAGGCTCCGTCTCAAACGCGCGCGACCATGGTGATAGTGCGCTTCGCGAGACATATATTTGCGCTTGCGGATACCGTCGTGCACGACCCTTGATGCTATCGCCATCATACACATCGTACGTTGGTCGCCATGGCGGTGGCATCGGGTAGCTATCGTAATGGCCCCCCGCATTATCTCCATAGTGATCTGGATAATAGCCGCCTCTGCCATGCCGACGTATCATGCGACTATTGCCTAAACCCTCTGTTGTGATTCTGTACTTTGGCATGTGTCGAGAGTATGCCTCATGCCGTGGTGCGTACCAGTCCTCGTCCTCACTTCGCGCGTCAATACCCGTGTATATCTCGCCGCTGTACTTGAAAACCGGTCGCGGGCTAGCGAATTCGGCTTCGTTGGGGAAACTCGACTCCAGTGTACTGCTCGAGTTTGCCTGCAGCTGGAGTGGACGCTTCCGTCGCGGCACGCTTATGCCTCCTCCACCCATGCTTATTTCTTCTTTGCCTCTAGCCCTGCGGTATAACGATGAGATTGTGTCACGAATCCCATCGCCATTGTATCCAATGAGCAAACAGATTCCCACTGTTACCACGGTCAGCGGTATAGCTACAATCCAGAATAAGTCTTGTCCTTGATTCATATCGCGGATATCAACCGTGTTCATCCCCATGTAGCTGGTTACAAACGACAGAGGCAGGAAAATAACAGTCACCACTGTAAACACCATGATGGCCTTGCCATGATCCTCTTCGTTGATCTCAAGGCTCTGCTTTGTACGATCCGCAAGGGGACCACAACGTCGGATTAAGTCCTTATAGTCTTCCCTGACCAGATCCAGACTGTCGAGACAATCTTCCACCAATGTGCGCTCGTGCGGAAACATGCTTTTTCGGGACGGTGATTCTTTCTCGTAAGTCAAGTCATCGAGAACGCCCAGGTAGTTTCTGCCAAGATTGGCCTGCTGTATATTAATTGAGGTGAGGATTTGCAACTCTTCTTGAATCAGGTTGAGATCTCGCAGGAGCCGTTTGCTTGGATGATGGTTGACCTGGAATTGCTGCAAGACGTTAGTTGAGGTCAGAACTTGGAAAAGGCCTTGCTCGACAGCTCCATGAGTAATTGGCACGTCTTTTTCGTGTGGTGACTGCTTTCACCTAGAAAAGAATACAAAACTACTTACAAGCCTTGATATGTATTCTCGATACAGATCACCTGCGCTTTTTTGTTTTTCAAGCGGTTGTAGCGACAGCCTCCTAACCAGCCAAGCACAAATGTACTCTGGGCCTAGAGAAAGATGCGCCATCAGATTTAGTGGCGGGTTGGATCGAGCCATGTAGCACAGCTGCGACCGAGCAACTCTCAGCGAGCGAATTGCAGTCTGGCTAAACCTCTTCAGGGTGGTGAGACCTTTTTTTGAATACGGCAGAACATCGCGTTCATGCTTGTGTTTGAGTCGATGGCTTTGTCCATAGGCATCGTTGATGTCGTATAAAGCTCGCTCAATCGCCATGACGAATACGAGGATCAATCGAAATGCCTCGGGAAGTTCTTTCGGCAGTCGATACAACTCAGAAATCTGGCCTTTTTCATTTTGAACTCCGTAGAGCAGTTCCTGCGCTTGATCAAATATCTCTTTTGCCGAGGTGCAGGCCATTGTAAGTATAGCCAGTACCCCAGCGTTCGTCTGCTCATACCAAAACTTTGCCGATGTCATGACCCACTCTCTTAATTGCGAGTCTGGAGATTTTCTCCCCGCCGGCAGTTGTTCATCAGGCAGGCCTCTCGTATTGGCTGTCTGGGGCTTTGCAAGCTCATTTTCCGGGTTTGCATGGTGCTCCAAATGTCTGAGCGCCTTGTCCAGACTGTCAAAAGGACGAAAATTGCTACACCGCTTGCACTTCGTGATCGCTTTCGTCAATTCCGGTTTGCCGTCTGGAATTGATAATAAACTGGGTCTGGTAGCGGTGCGGATGATCCAGGAATGCCCTAACGAGTGGGGTTGTCCTCGTTGCCGTCTAGAAGTACTGTGTTGATCAGAATCTCGATCCGAAGGTTGGTTGTCCTCGATCTTGACAATGTGTTCATGAAATCTAGCCATGACACCCCAAGTTTTGTCTATTACGGTGCTCTCGTCCGTGTCGCTGACAAAAAGCTCTGAGATCATGCGAACAAAGTTGAAAAATTCGAGAGACTTGTTCAAAATACCAGTGTGTTGAGTATCAACTGTGACATGATGAAGTGAAGATCCAGACATCATTCTTTTTCCTTGGTTTAATTGTTCCCTCAGATCGGAAAAACTAGCATCTGCAGATTCGTAGGACACCTCGGGGAGTGATTCGTAATAATTCGTCGACGCAAAGGTCGCATCGACACGGTTGGTATTGACTCCAATGATGATGTCAGTCATCATGGCCTTCTCGACCTGCTCCAGACAACTAGTGAACTGCCGTCGTTTGTACAAGCCCCGGTCCGCGGTCTTGTGCTTCTTTGTGTCTGTACTGGCATTTGGCTGTGGCCAATGAAAAAATGGAGGCACAGATGTTGAGCTGCTTGTGTTCCAAGCATTCGCAGTCGATGTAGAAAGGGGGTCCATTTGTACCACGTCTTTGTCGGTTACTTGTACCAAGTTGATTGAGATGAAGTTATTTCGCGCAATAAGGTTTTTCCAATGCTTCGGGGTGACCCTGGAGCTGTCGTTTCGCGTCTTGCGCTGCAAGCAGATCTTTGTTTCCACACCTTTGCCATTGACCCCGTACTCAATTTCACGAACCCTTGCCTCCATCTGGAGGTAGGATCTACAAGTGCTGAGGGGAAAGATGAAATCGCGCCCGCCGCGATCGGTGAGTCTGATTTTTGTCTGATTGTTGTCTGCAACCGGTTGTGTGCCCAGTTGTATAATCTCTTCCTCAATGATAGCCATTGAATTTATCATCTCCTTGGACAGTGGTGCATGCCCACAAGTTACAACAAAGCTGGATCCTATGTTCATCATCCAGAGATTTGGAACGTGGATGATACTTTCGGATCGGCCATTGCCAAATCTTTTGTAGGACTGTTCTGCATCTCGTTCGCGTACTGGCTCGTAGGGATAGAAGGTCTGCATCAGGGTCCGCTGACTAAATAGTGTGTTTTCTGTATGCGCAGAACTCCTGGCCTGGGGATGTAGTCCTAGGTACAGAAGGCAGCTGAATATGACGGACTGTGGATCAGGCTGGTTCGATTCGTCGGCCCGTAGAACTGTGCCTGGCTCGATAAACATACCGCTATCAAATGGCTTCACCTTTTCGGCGTTTACCTTGTTGAGCATCTCAGAAGTGAGCTTTCGCAGTCGATCACTTAGATGTGGTATAGTCAGGCATACGTCCCTGAAACGCGAGAAATCAAGCTGTCTAGCCGAAATGTGGTACCATGTTGAAGTTACAGCTTCTTGCAAACGAGGAGTCTCGGGGCCTGGCACGACGTAGATTTTGATCTGGCCTCGTCCACCGGCTTCCTCGATCATGGCTCTAGTTATTCGGAATGTCTCGACATGAGAATCACCAACGTCCTTTCCTACACCATGGCCTTCTGGCTCCTCTCTAGACCCAATGGCTTCCTGGTGATGCCTCGTGTCCACTTGGAAAGAGAGTTGATTGCATTCGATATCCAGAGGTGCCACCACCTGACGAGGTACCGGCAAGTCGTTTACTGCTACAAAGCCACGACTGCTTGACGACACAGTATGATCAGAATCACTGTCGGTGCTGGAATCGCTGTCGCCGGAGTCGCTATCGCTGGAATCACTATCAGTGCTGGAGTCGCTTTTTTGCCCAGCAGGAGGTGGTGGTGGGCGTTGGTCGTCGAATGTAGTCCTCGGAACATAGTCGCTTTCCTCAACAAAACGGTTTCGCCGGTAATACACCAGCGGCGACTTCGAGCGGGAACGAGATGTGAAGTGATGGCGAGAACCTCTGCCAGGCCGGTCGTCGGGGAACTTGATGTCGATAGTCATGCCAGGCGCGACAACAGCACCCCACACATTTGAGAGGATGCTGGCTCCATTAGTTTGTATGGCATAGTCTCCGCATGCGACTTTATCACGCAAGTCTTGGTCTTGTTTGGCGTATATTTGTTCCCAGCGAGACTCGATGTCCTGTCAAGCCACGGTTAGTACGGTATTGCAAAAGCGTCTAGGCTGCACAGGATCAAAGCACCACAGTATGGAAATGGGACGCACCTCTTTGGACCGACATTGCTCATAGGGAAACGCGTAACGTTGTCCTGAGTGATCGCGAAAATAAACAAGCTCGTGGTTTTTGGCGTTGTCGTTCGCATTGGATGTAGTCGTGTCGCCCCGTCAGTCGCCTTGGCGACTGTCGCGCCGCTCCAAGTCAATCTCGGGCTCCATGCATCAACAGCCCCAAGATGATGCAGCAGGCTGAGCGAGGGAACAGGAAGAATGAAATAGACATGATGGGGCAAGGCAGCCACTAGCACATATTGGATCTGCAAGGCGGAATGTCAGCGTCCAAGTTCAGCTCTTACTAGCGCCCTGTGGGGTGGCTCGCTCAGGCGTGCCGTGCTGCAGTGGAACAGGAAGGCACGCATCGAGACTGGTGCTGGAGTGACAATGCCAAGCACTCGGCCGTACAGTATACGCACATGGAGTTACACACAGCCGCCAGTCTCACTCGGATTCGAACAGCAAGGCAAAGCATGATTTTACAGATAGATTGAATGCAAGCCCAGCTCAAGGGCGTCGTCGGTTATTACAAAAAACACTAGACTACTGTACACGGATACATGGACACAGGGCTACAAACGACAAAAGAAACAGAGTGTGAACAAGACATGCTGTGGATATGCAATATAAAGCAAAAAGGCTATCCAACTGGTATCGAAGAGAAAGCACCCCATCTAGGCGGCGGCAGTTAAGATTGAGGTCATAAATCGTGATGGTATCGTTTTGGCAGGGACGCTATGAAAGTGCTGTCGCAATTAATGGCTGTAGAGAGGCGGCGGCGGCGGCGGCGGCGATGGTGTTTGGATGCATATAGTGTCCGCATGTGTACATTTTGCCTGGTCTGAAGGAGCGTCGATTTGGATAAGGGGCGGTAGTCACTTGGCAGCGAGAGCCTGCTCGGTCGGTACGGGCATGGGCATGGTCGACGGCGTCTGCATGACTGCTGCAGGGTTGGAGGGCGGCGGGGGTAAGCGCATCTGCTGCGCGTCCTTTTTGATAAGTAAACTCTTGAATGCGCCGAGCCACCTTGCTAGCGTGTCATCGTCGGCGGCGCAGAACTTGAAGTTTTTCTCTTCACAAATCACTTGCATGCAGTTCTGCTTGCTGCGCGAGAGGGGGTCAATGTCTACGGCGTCGATGATGCTTGCGAAGGGGATGATGTGCGTAGCCGAGTATTCTTCTTCATTCTTGTAAAAGGCCAGGCCCTTTGGCCTCAGCACCACCCAGATCTTCTTCCACTGGCGCACGCCGCCTTTGGACTTGAGGATGTACAGCCAGCCGTGGTATACGACGCGCTCGTCGTCTGGCGTGGCGGCGCTCTGTTGGCTGAAGCTGCGCTTGGGCTGCGGGGGTTTCGAGGGGAGCGACGTGACCGAGGGCTGATTGGTGTCGGAAAACTCAAAGTCGGAGACGGAGCCGTACTCGCCGCCAGAGTAGTTGAGCGCTTGCGAGGGCCTGCGTGAACTATGTATCCGGTCTGGAACCATGGAGCTCGAGGGTCGCGGCTCAGCCTCGGAGGAGCTTGAAACAATGTTTTCCCGATTGGCTGTGCCAAAACCTTCACACGTCTCCCTGGCCGACATGGGGCTCATGACGGTCATGTCAGCTTCGTCCTCGATGCCGATGCGAGCCTCGGTGCGGATGAGGTGCACCCATTCCTGGGCGTCCTTGTCCGTGGATGCGCCCAGGTGGTAGTTGCGGGCGGGCGAAAAGATGCCAAAGACGTGGTCCATCTTCTTCTTCGAGTCTCGCTGGCGCGCGACGGCCGTGATCTCGGACAGGTTGATCTGGTGGCGCAGCTTGGTCTCGTCCTTGTCCTTGTAGATGGAGAGGTAGTGCGGGCGCAGGACGAGGTAGACGTGCTTCCATGACTAGAGGGCAGCGTTAGCAGACAGGAACCACCAGGCCGCGGACATGGACGTGCCTTTGTCTTGCGGGTGCGCTTCACCACGGTGCCGGCCTTGATGATGCGGTCGAACTCGAAGCAGCCGTTCTGGTTGACGGGCGACATGATGTCGACGCTGGCGCTGGCTGTCTTGATGTTGGGGAGCCGGGGGGCGGCCATGGGGTTTGCGGGGGGTTGGTGGCTCTCCAGAGTCGCTGCCATGGTGGCGATGGGCGTCACATTCAGTGGAGACGGGGAGGCGGGAAGGATGAGGGAAGGGAAGGGGGGTGTCGGCGCGGGACGCGGTGCGAGTGGATGACGATGGTTATAAGGGGGTGGGCGGGGGGGGGGGGAGTTTGCGATGCTCAAACGAGGGAGGGCGAGAGGGCGGTTGGTGCGTGCGCAAGAGGGAGCGAGCGAGGGAGCGAGCGTGCTGGTGCGTGAGAGTGAGTGCGTGCTCAGGGAGCGTGCTGGTGGCAGTGGCAGAGTGTTATTATATCCCGACAGATATTATGGGAGATCGACAGAGGGTAGGCGAAGGACAGGGGGCATGCATGGGGCACGAGGCCAAGCACACGGCGCAGGCCTGGGGCAGCTGGTCAGCCCGCGCGACGTGGACGAGTCAATGGCAGCGAGCGTGGGAGCGTGGGCAGACCAAAAAAAAGAAGACACTGCTGAGGGGGTGGTGGCCGTGGTGCGGCCGCGCTGAGGGTGGTGAGGGTGGTGAGGGTGGCGATGGTTGTAGTCGTGGGCGTGGGCGTGGGCGTGGGCGTCATCCAAGTCAGGCACGGGCGAGACCTCGCTGACGTCTTGGTGCAGCAGCTTACTCGGGTGCGTGCCGCCACCAAAAAAAAGCCATCCATGAGCCATGGTGAGGCGGGATGCATCAACCAGGGTGGGGCAGCATCGTCGCCATCCGCGCCCCTCTATCGACGTACATAGACACTACATATTCTGGAACCGTTTCACCCTCTTCTGCCACGAGCACTCCAAACCACCCGCCTGGCCTGCGCCCCCAAGTCCTGTTGCAGACCTGCAGACGCCCCTCGCCTCCAATCTTGGCCCTGCGCGCGTGCGCCCGTGAAACTGCGTGGGTTGCACCGGCCACGCCAAACACGACGACGACGACGGCCACGACGACAACAACGGCCGTCCGCCACGACAGCAGCACGCCCGCCCATCTCGCCGCGCCGCCAGGATGCCCGTTGTTCCCAGCGACAAGCTCGTGGCGCTGCAGCAGGCCGCCGACGGCATCAGGAACATCTGCATCCTGGCCCACGTTGTGCGTCTGCCCCGTGCCGGTGCCTGCGCCGCCCCGCCTCGCTGCGCCTGCTAATGATTGCTTTGCGACAGGACCACGGCAAGACGTCGCTCACAGACGCCCTCATCGCCACCAATGGCATCATCTCCCCCAAGCTCGCCGGCAAGATCCGCTACCTCGACTCGAGGCCCGACGAGCAGCTGCGCGGCATCACCATGGAGGCGTCGGCCATCTCGCTCTACTTCTCGTCGCTGCGCCGCCCCGCCCCCGATGCCGCCCCCGAGCAGCGCGACTTCCTCATCAACCTCATCGACTCGCCCGGCCACATCGACTTTAGCTACGAGGTCTCGACCGCCTCGCGCCTCTGCGACGGCGCCGTCGTGCTCGTCGATGCCGTCGAGGGCGTCTGCAGCCAGACGGTCACGGTCCTGCGCCAGACGTGGATCGAGAAGCTCAAGCCCCTGCTCGTCGTTAACAAGATGGACAGGCTAATCACCGAGCTCAAAATGAGCCCCGCCGAGGCATACACACATCTGAGCAAGCTGCTCGAGCAGGTCAACGCCGTCATGGGCAGCTTCTACCAGGGCGAGCGCATGGAGGACGACCTCCGCTGGCGCGAGAAGATGGAGGAGCGACTCAATGCTGCCGCCGCCGAGAAGACCGACTCCCGATCGTCGGTGCTCGAAAACGGCGACAGCGTCGACATGACGAGCACGCCCGCCGAGTACGAGGAAAAGGACGACGAGGACATATACTTTGCGCCCGAGAAGAACAACGTCATCTTCGGCAGTGCCATTGACGGCTGGGCGTTCACCGTGAGGCAGTTTGCCGGCCTGTACGAGAAGAAGCTCGGCATCAAGCGCTCCATCCTGGAAAAAGTGCTCTGGGGCGACTTCTACCTCGACCCCAAGACCAAGCGCGTGCTCAGCTCCAAGCACCTCAAGGGCCGCCACCTCAAGCCCATGTTTGTCCAGCTCGTCCTCGACAACATCTGGGCCGTGTACGAGGCCACCACAGGAGGTAACAATGGGAAGGGGTGCGTGGATTTCCTTTCCTTGCATCGTGTTTCGCACATGTACCTTAGCAATATACTTATGCCTTGCACTACAGAGATCCTGCCATGGTCGAGAAAATCACAAAGTCGCTCAACCTCACTCTGCCTGCCCACATTATGCGCTCCCGCGACCCGAGGACCCTCTTGATGGCTCTCTTTGCCGCCTGGCTTCCGCTCTCGACGGCCCTCCTCGTGTCGGTGACAGAGTACCTTCCTGCGCCACCCAAGGCGCAAGCCGACCGCATGCCCGAAATCATTGACAACTCGCCAGGCGCCGATTACGTCGCCCCACAAGTCCGAGACGCAATGACTAACTTCAAGACGTCAAAGGACGCTCCCGTCGTCGCCTACGTCAGCAAAATGATCTCCGTACCCGCCAGCGAATTACCGCAGAACAAGCGAAGAGGTGGCGCGCTTACCGCCGAAGAAGCCAGAGAGTTGGGAAGGAAAAAGCGCGCTGAGATTGCGCGCCAGCAGGCCATAGCAAACGGCGAAGTTCCCGACGTGGGCAGCGTGACGGCTGCGCTCAGCTCTGCAGCTATTGGGGAAACAGAGACACCTGTCGAAGAGACGCCCGAGGCGGAGGAACAGGCCGATCATTTAATTGGCTTCTCGCGTATCTTTTCTGGGACGCTGAGCGTGGGCGACGAAGTTTACGTGCTCGGCCCGAAATTTACTCCTGCGAACCCCCATGCTGCTCCCGAACCGCAAAAGGTCAAGATCACCGCGCTATACCTGATGATGGGCCGCGGCCTGGAGCCCTTGACGTCAGTACCCGCCGGTGTCGTCTTTGGCATCGGCGGCCTCGAAGGCCACATCCTCAAGTCAGGCACGCTGTGCTCGCAGACGGCTGGATCGCTGAACCTGGCCGGGGTCCAGATGGGCACCGAGCCAATCGTGCGTGTTGCGCTTGAGCCCGAGAACCCGTATGACCTGGACAAGATGATCAAAGGCCTGAAACTCCTCGTCCAGAGCGACCCGTGTGCCGAATACGAGCAGCTGCCCAGCGGCGAGCATGTCATCCTCACGGCCGGCGAACTGCACCTCGAGCGCTGTCTCAAAGACCTGAAGGAACGCTTCGCAAAATGCGAGATCCAGGCCGGCGAGCCCATTGTGCCCTACCGCGAGTCCATTGTCGCCGCCGCTGAAATGAACCCGCCCAAAGACGCCAATTTGCCCAGAGGCACCGTCATAGGCGAAACAGCAGGCAAGCACGTCTCGGTGCGCCTGCGCGTGCGGCCCCTGCCACCCAGCGTCACAGAGTTCCTGGGCAAAAACGCGGGCGCAATCAAGAAGCTGTATGCGGAGCGCCGCGCCGAAGAGGAAACAAACAATAACACGCAGAATCACGTGGTGCCAGAGACGGAAGACGATGGCATCCACGAAGCTGACAAGCGTGAAATAGGACATAGCTTGAGTTTCGACGATTTCAAGAAACAGCTTCACGACGCATTTGCACAGGCAAAGGGGCAAAAGGAGGTCTGGACTGATGTCATTGATAAGATTACGGCGTTTGGGCCCCGCAGGATAGGTCCTAATATTCTCGTGGATGCGACCAAGGATGGCATTTGCGGGAGAGCGTGAGTTTTTTTATTCTTCATTGGTTATCACAGTTGCAATGCTGATGGGATGCCACAGACTCCGTGATTCGTCTTCCCCGGACCCCGAGGCAGAAGTGGCGGCGGCGGCGGCGTCGTCGGATCGTACGATATCTGCGCGAACGTTTGCATCGACAATTTCCTATGCCTTTCAGCTGGCCACGGCACAGGGGCCATGCTGCGCCGAGCCCGTCCAAGGCATCGCCGTCTTCCTCGAAGACGTGACGCTCAACCTTTCTGACGACGAAGGCGCCCAGGACCGCGGCCGGCTCACGGGCGAAGTCATCAAGGCAGTGCGGTCGTCGATCCACCAGGGCTTCCTCGACTGGTCGCCACGCATGCTCCTCGCCATGTACAGCTGCGAAATCCAGGCGTCGACTGATGTCCTCGGCCGCGTCTACGCCGTCTTGACTCGCCGCCGCGGCACCATCCTCAGCGAAACCCTCTCGTCCACCTCGTCTGCATCCACAACCGGCTCGCAGACCTTCACCATCAGCGCGCTGCTCCCCGTCGCCGAATCCTTTGGCTTCAGCGACGAAATCCGCAAGCGCAGCTCCGGTTCCGCATCTCCCCAGCTGCGCTTTGCCGGCTTTGAAATGCTCGATGAAGACCCCTTTTGGGTCCCTTTTACAGAGGACGAGCTCGAGGACCTTGGTGAGTTGGCTGACAGGGAGAATGTGGCAAAGAGGTACGTGGACAAGGTAAGGAGGAGAAAGGGGCTCCGTATTGCGGGTGAAAAGGTCGTGGTGGATGCCGAGAAGCAAAAGACGCTGAAGCGTTAGTAGTCTCGTCGTGTATCTGCTGCAGGTGTGATTTGAAAAAAAAAAGTTGATCAAGACTTGCTTGTAATTGTTCATTGGTCTGGCTCAATGCCCGTTTGCACTTGATAACGCTTTGGGCAGCGATCTTGTACATCCATAACAAATGTTTTGCCGCGTGCTTTCGGGTTCAACATTATCGCTGCTGTCGTGTTGGTCGCCGCCCCAACCGTGGATGCCAAAACGGCCTCCTGGCACGGGCATGCTGCATAAACTGCACTGTGGATCAGAGAGGGCATCCGGGCGCACCTCGAGTTTGCTTGTCGTGCGAACTACATTTGCGACGATGCTGGGAAAGTTCTCCTCGACCGACTCGAAATACTGCTTCATGAGGTCGTCGATAGTCGTGTTCTTGGAGCTCGTAGATGCGTGCGTGGAGCCTTGTGACGAAGTCTCGTCAATGAGCTGAGCGAGGCTGGCATCCGACATGTGCACATACGAGACGAGTTCTTTTTTGAGCACGTCTCGGAGCGGGTAGTGGAAGTGCAGGCCAAACGGGGACAGACCATCTGATATCTGCCAGGGCAACGAGAAGCCGCGGCCCTTTGCTGTCTCGGCAAGCGTCTTTTGAGCCAGCGTCGTGGTGCTGTCGCCCCAGAGGATGCTTTCGCAGCCGCTCAACCGCGCATGCTCGACTATGAGCCGTGTGCGGAGAGTGGAAATCACGTCAGCGCGGGCGGTGGCGGAAGAGAGCGAGTTGATCATGTGCACGAGCTGCTCCTCGGTACCCGCCTCTGCATTCTGCTCGCTCTGCGGCACCAGAGACCTGAGCGCCGCGTCGTCTGGTACCAGGCGAAAAACATCGTGCAGCGGCAACGAGGCATACTCGTGATCAGGATACTGCGCGCGGATCTTGGCCAGGAGCTCGTCGGCGCTTCCAGCAGCCTCGCCCGGCTCTTGGACGTGGACAGCGCTGATTTCAAAGCCAGTGCGGCCCGTCTTGCTCTTCTGCGTCTTGAGATGCACATCCAAGACGTGCAGCAGCGAAATAGATGAGAAGCCAAACGACAGGGGTACCAGGACCCTGCGTTGCTTTTCTGCGCCGAAATTGACTCGGAACGATTCCAGGCGCTTAATGCATTTTGTGTGGACATAGCGGGCGAAGCAGTCGCTGCAGCAACGTTAGCGAGGTCGTATCTTTCTCTCTTTTTTTTATGTTTTTTTTGGCGGCTCTCGTCAACAGGTGCTGCGGGAACTACTGGTACTGACTGGCAGAGTGGCTCGGAGCGGACGACAAGCACGGCGGCGGCCTTGCATCGCCGGCAAGGCTCGTCAGGCGCAGCGGCAATGTGCTTGCCGGGCATGCTGGCGGGGTGGGAGCGGGGGATGAAGTGGTTGTGGTTGTGGATGTGTAAGGCTGACTCGTCGAGGTGTGGAGGGGGCGGGAGCTGGGAGTGGGAGGGAACTGCGCCACATTTGGATGCGCGCTAAGAACAGCCCAAGCTACCGGGGAAGGCGGCCTTGGGGTGGAGGACGAACGCGCAATCCAAACCGCCAACGGCACCACGCCAAACCTGCGCCCATGAACCATCGTTGACCGTTGTGGTTGCGCGAGGAAAGAAGAAACGTTGCCGATCCCATTCGCACCGCACACGCTGGCCCCAAGCCCCCGCGATTCTTAGCCGTCAACTCCGCCAGCTGGCCTCGCATCTGCCACCACGATGAGGGCTGCGCTGCGCAGAGTCGCTCTGCTGCTGCTGGCCACGCTCACCGCCGTCGCCGCCGTCGATGTGACGCTGGTAGGCCGCGCCCCTGTTTCCGACGTGCTTTCCGCTGCTGACACGTCCGCCAGACGCAAGATGACCGCCAGAAATGCTCGGGCATGTACAGCAAGAAGTCGTGGGGTGGAAAGGTCGACCCGTTTATCCTCGTCAAGTTCATAAAGGACCCGGCCAAGAACGAGGGAATCAAGGACCCCGTCGTCAGCGTCGTGGTGTGGGAATGGAAGGACACGTTGCTGCTGGGCGCGCCCTCGGACCTGCCCGTCAACGATGTCGGTAACTCTCTGCCAGTGCTAGGCTACACGAGCTGATGTGGCCACAGGAAAACCGCCATTACATCTGCGACGACGAATCCGTCAAGCTGAAGCTATGCAACGCCACGCACAAGGGCGAGTGGGTGCTCGCCCAAGACGTCGACAACATCTCGCAAATGCACATTCGCACCGCCGCAATCAACTTGAACGACCCCAAGCCCATCAACTACCCCGTCGCAAGCGGAGACAAGAAGATGCCCATAAAGACGGGATACTATTGCGTCGCCGCCGCCGCCCAGGACTCCCGCCTGCAGTACGAGGCCATTGTGACTTTCCGCAATGCCTACGGTGAGCTGCAGGCCGCCCAGATCGCGAAGCTGCCCTTCTACGGCGGCATGACAATCGTCTACTTTGTCGTGTTGGCCTTCTGGGGCTTCTTGTACTTCCAGAACAGACACGATATTCTCGCGGTCCAGAACTACATCACGGCGATTCTGGTCTTCTTGGTCGTCGAGATGCTCATGACTTGGGGATACTACGACTACCAGAACCGCCACGGCAACAACATGGGCGCCAAGGCGCTGATGATTATTGTCGCTGTCCTGAACGCGTTCCGCAACTCGTTCTCCTTCTTCCTGCTTCTCATTGTGTGCATGGGTTATGGTGTCGTCAAACCTTCCCTTGGAAAGACCATGACCATTGTCCGCTGGCTTGCCGTGGCGCACTTCATTTTTGGTGTCATTTATGCCGTCGCCTCGCTTACCATCCGCCCAGATGATGCCGGACCTATTGTGCTGCTTGTTATCCTCCCACTGTCCGCTACACTCACGGCCTTTTACATCTGGACTCTGAACTCGCTGAACCTGACTATGAAGGACCTCATGGAGCGCAAACAACATGTCAAAGCCACCATGTACAAGCGATTGTGGTGGTGCATCCTGACGAGCATCATTGTCATCTTTGGCTTCTTCTTCATCAATAGCTTTACGTTTGCCGGTGCTTCGACCCCGGATTTTGCGCCGACCCACTGGCAAACGCGATGGTTTGTTCTTGACGGCTGGCTGAACCTGGTCTATCTGGCCGATGTATGCTTTGTGGCGTACATGTGGAGACCGACGGCGAACAACCGACGATTCGCCATGAGTGACGAGGTGAGTTGGATGACCCGTGGGCTTTTTGCACAAGTACTGATTATTTCTAGATTGCGCAAGATGATGAAGGCTTCGAAATTGCTTCGCTCAGAGACTCCATGGACGAAGAGGAGGGCCGCTTGAACCAGCCTGAGTCGTACGACCCAGCGCCGAGGTCCAACAACAATGCACGCGATGCGTCACCTCTGCCTGCACCACAAGCGCAGAAGCCTATTCATCCTCCTAGGGAGAGTCTTGATGGCGACACTATCTTTGCTGTGGGTGAGGACGACAAGTGGAGTAGTGATGGCGACGAGGAAAGCGACGAGAGTGAGTCGGAGGCTGGCAATTCAAAAGGAGGTAAGGACGAGCGCTCGAGATTGACTGGTAAAAAGGATGACTAGGTGTTGGTTTCCCACGAGGATGGCTGGGGTTTTAGAAGCTGTTATTTTGGGCACTGGCGTTTGTTGGAAAGCGACACACATCGCATGGGTTAGCGGGTGTCGTGTATTTTGTATTGTATGTCGGCCTTGGCATAGCTGGCGTTCGCAATTGTGCCTTGTTTTGTTGCTCTTGTTCTGTACTGATTGAGATTGTCCCGCATTGAGCTGTTGTGTCGCGCTGAAACCTAACTCCGCAAACGCCGAAGCGTCGCCAATATGTCGTCAGAGTTCTTTGCTGCATCCTCACTTCATCCACTTTGACCTGCACCATGGCAGCTCTATCGCTGAGCGCACCGGCGCGCAATACAAAATACATATGTGATACATGTCGGACAAGTCTACGCTACCTACGAAATCCAATCCTCGGCACACATCGATCTCTCAGCACCGCAGTGTCCTCGCACAGTCAAACCTCGTCGCAATCAGCATTGCATCAATCCTTTCGCAGTCGAGCTCCCGCCTTGCCTGTAAAGTTTGAATTGGCTCACAGACAATTCACGTCACGTTACTCTTCAGCAGCTGGTCAAGCAGCGCAAATCGCCAGCTCAGGCTTTGCGCCACTTCCGCATCGTCGCCTAATCTCCCTCTCCGGCGCTGATACCGCAAAGTTCCTGCAGGGCCTGATCACAAATAATGTTGATCCGGACCGTCATTCATCTTTCTACTCTGCCTTTCTGGATGCGCGCGGAAGAGTGCTGTGGGATGTATTTGTGTGGGTATGGCCAGAGCTCGTTGCAGAAAAAGGCCATTGGGCGTGCTACATTGAGGTTGATGGGGGCGAGATGGAGGCTTTGAAAAAGCATCTGAAGCGCCACAAATTGAGGAGCAAGATACAAATCGAGGACGTGAGAGAAGACGAGGTGCGCGTGTGGGCGGCCTGGGGATCTGCAGCTGGACAAGCCAATACCGGCGATTTGATTGCTGCTATGAAAGATCCACGCGCACCAGACATGCACCGCTGCCTCTCAAGCGCAAATGCGCGGACGATAGTAGAAGGCGCCGAGCCACTGGACGTTCAGGAGTACCACATCCAGCGCTATCGAAATGGCATACCCGAAGGACAGGCCGAGATTCCACGGGAGAGCGCCCTGCCAATGGAATGCAACGTCGACCTCTCGCAAGGCATAGACTTCAAAAAAGGCTGCTATGTCGGTCAAGAGCTCACCATCCGCACAAAACACACGGGAATCGTACGCAAGCGCATCTTACCGGTCGAACTCTACACCGCCGGTACCCTATCCGCTCTTCCTGAACACGGCACCGACATCAAGCAACTCGACGAAAGCGGCAGCATCAAGAAAGGCCGTGCAGCAGGCAAGTTCGTGGCGGGCATTGGGAATGTCGGCCTTGCCATGTGCCGATTGGAGAACATGACGCATATGAAGGTCAGTGCTGAGGGCGGCACATGGAAGCCTGGCATGGAGTTTGGTTGCGAGACGCAAGACGGAGTCGTCAAGGTCAAACCGCTGCTGTATGACTGGTTTGTGTTGAGAGAACGGGAGTTGTGGGACAAGAACCGGCTGAGGCTGTAGAGCTCCATGTTCATGAATCATGCATGTCCATCTCAATAATGCCATCCTGTGACATGACCATGTATCATGACTATTGCACCTTAGCGCCGTCGTGTAGACAGAACGCCTGACGTGACTAGTCAGCCTACTATGAGGGGCTGTGCAATGGTGGCTTAGCTTCGCGGATAAGCTTTATTCTTCGGGAATATCACTCTTGATACTCGACTACTTTGCACAACGACTCCTCCATTGTGTTTGTTGCTTGACCGCCATATATATCACTGTATCTGTCAAGTATACACTATACTATTGGCATGGTGAAAACGGTTCCCAGAACCATGGCTACCACACTACCCCCAAAGCCATCTGAACACCATCGCTCCATCTCAAATATCATGTCGCGTTTCCGATTGAAGAAAAAGACGGGTTTAAAGAAGCATGAGCCACAACACGAGTCACAGCAGCAGCAGCATGATCAGCAAGACACACGGCCTCCACTGATCCACGCACCCGTTCCCCTCGTCCTCCCCCAGCACCAACAAGCCCTAACGAAGCTCGGCTGGACGACAATCAGCTTCCCCAACGACGCCTCAGAACATGCGTCCACAAACTCAGTTTCCAGTGCGCCCGCACCTGCACCCGGCGCGCACCCGCTCCAAGCCGCATACGAAGCCCTCTTCGCCGCCAGCCAAACCTTCTTCGCCCTCCCCGACTCGGAAAAAGCCCAGTGGAAACACCGCCTCGGCTCCGAAGAAGGCTGGTCCAAGATCCCCGGCGAAAAGGAATTCATCACTCTCCGCTCGCTCGCGTACTGCCCAGATGTGCTGCGCGCGCCAGCCCAACGCTACTGGGCGCTCATGGGCCAGCACTGCGCGAGCACGCTCGGCCGCATGTCGATTGCACTGGGGTTGCCTGACGCGGAGAACGAGGGGCTCCGCCAATTCGTCGGGCCGTGTGCACGCATGCCTGAGACGGAGGACGGGAAAACAGCGACCATGCTCCGGCTGTTTAGGTACGAGGGCTGGGAAGCTAAAGTCGTGGCGGAGCCGCATGCAGACCTGGGTCTTCTCAGCGTCGTCGTGGGTGATGTACCTGGCCTCGAGGTGTGGGATGGCGCAGCCTGGTTCGATGTCGAGAGGGCGGTGCAGAGGGGAGGCGGAAAAGGCGCTACTATGCTGGTTGGACGGCAGCTGGAGCGCCTGGCGAACAAGAGGTTTGTGGCGGGTGGCCATCGGGTGGTTGCGTATGGGGGGTTGGGAGCTAGCTCGGAGTCTGGGACGGAGGTTGAGAAGAATGCGTATCGCCATTCGATTGTTGTTGTGCTGCGGGCTCATGAAGACACGATTATCAGGTCTGAGGCGCTGGAGACCGACGTCACGGGGAAGTGGGCGCAACCTATGGATGGAGAGACAGCTGGTGAGTTGTATGAGATGATTAAGCGGCAGCATTTTAATATCAATGTCGATGTTGAGGAGAGGGAGGCGCAGAGGAGGAGGTTACAGGAGAAGAAGAATGTAGTGGGGGAGAGTGAGTAGCGTGGGTGAGGGCATTTACATGGCATTGGGATAAGAGGTCATGTGTGGCTGGGCGATATCTTCGTTTCTTACTATAATATTTGATACATGATGTGTATTACAAGGTCACCAGCTAGTGTACTCACTATGCCAATGAAGATTTCCCATTTGTATCTTTTGTCGCTGTCAATGATTTACTCGTTTCAGCATAAACATCCACTTCCTGAGGATACCAACACATTCACTTGCTTCTCTGCATACCTCTTTTCCTATAAAATCGCAATCACCATACACAACTAGCTTAGTCTGCATTCTCGTGACTAACCAACTCAACAAGCTGGATTCCAACCGCATCACATTCCTATACAAACCTCGATACACACTCCGATCTGGTATGACCGCGAGAATATAAAATCAAGCCAGTATTTCCCGACGAAGGCTTGCGGTGCAAGGAGTGGTGTGACTATGAATCAGTCTTCGTCTGCCACAACATCGACATCAACATTGCGTATATCAACACCATCGACACCATCGAGAAGCATAGCCAAATGCAACCTGGACTCTATGTACACATCCATCTCCTGATCCACTCATCCAGCGCATTTATATACGCGTCAGAATCACCGCTAAACAGTCACAACACCCGTTCCACCGCTACTCTTCCCTGATCTCCACCAGATGCCACGCAGTTTCAAGGCTATGCGACGTCTCATGCTCGGCGTGGATCTGGTGAGTAGAGATATGTTTGAGAAGCGAGGCTGGGGATTGCTCGTCTGCGTGTCTCTCCTGGAAGGAAACGGTATGCGAGGTGCTGAAGGCGTGTATGCTGATTTTTGGAAGTGAATGCGGGTGCAGATGAGAGGGGGATATAGAATAATGAAGACCGCTTCGAGCAGTGGAAGACGGAAAAGAAGGGGAAAATGGGAGGGCTAGGGCGTTGTGGCAAGTATACAGACAAAAAATATTCATTATACATAACAAATGCCTGGATGCCGTTCGAGATCACACCCAGCCTCGAAAAAAAAGACGCTTCAAGATGCTGCAGCGCAGAAACAAAGCGAGAGCTACGCCGCTCTTGAGCGAGTGGGCGATAAAACGACAAACCCAGGGAAAAAATCTAGATTTGGACAGCGGACTATCCGAGAGACTCGCGGTCCCAGCCAGCTACCACTGAGGCAAACCTAGCTGTTAGCACGCGGATTTCGCATCACCGTTGATACCATCAAAGTACTCCATTCATCCAAGTCACACATCCCCTACTGAGTCAGTACCTTACGGCGCTGCAATCCGCCTGTGTCCATATATCCCCCCCAGCGGATCTCTATTCAGGAGCGGCTTGCATACATCTTATGCTATACTAGTACCACAGACAATTACATCGTAGGTGATTGGACGTTCTTTGCGCTTCCCTAGTGCGCACCTCGTGAAGTTTGATTGCACCTTTGCGGCTTCATTTTACGCAACACGATGTCCCGCCTCACTACTTGACACTTACTCAGGAGCTTTTCTCCTCCTCTGCACCCTGCATGGGTAAGCTGCTCGAGTCTGGCGGTTGGCCTGCATAACTGCCATGTAGGGGTTCTGTGCGAGGGTAAATGGATTTGGGGATTGTCTTGGGATGGGAGTTTTGGGAGGGTGTGGGTTTGGGATTGGAGTTGGAAATAAAATATTTGAGGGGCGCTGTTGCGCAGACGATGTTGCTTAGATTGGTAGCGTTCAAAATCAAACTACATACGCAGTGTTTGCACGGAGAGGTAGATTTCTTTTGGTAATGTACTTTTAACAGGGAGCAGATTTATCACGTGCGTTTACCAAGGTACCAACGGGCAGGTTTGGGTTGGTCACGTGATACAGTGCTTATCCTTGACTACCTTCCTCAGTGTTAGGCATCCTACTCCTTAGCTGTAAATGAATCGCCCGCCCGAATGCTTGATCATTCAGCATTGTGGAATAGACCTTCTGTCATGTCTCGTCAATGTCCACGGACTCGCCTCAGGAAGTTTCAAAAAATGTCCGGTTAACGATTGATCTGCGCCTACACGAAATCATCAGCCTCGTCTAATCTATCTTTAGACAACTGACCGGTATCGCTGATGGATACGTACAAGGCAGACATGGCTGTTCAGCCTCGCCCAGCAAATTACAAACAGGGCGTACATAATCCTTCGACGCTTCAGTCTGACTCCCCCGTTTCACCCTCTCTCGCGGAGTTCTAAACGAACGCGCAAACGCACCCTTGTCAAACGGTGTCAACACCTGTCAGCACGTTGTGCGAGAGATGTCGCAGGGCCCTGTCGCCGCACTCCAATCAGGAGCCATGGACGCGGCGCCTCTCCTTTTCGAGCACGACCCACTCCCAGAACACACGTCACATTTCCGGCTACTGCGCATCATTCGCGGCGCCTTTGGCCAGCACGTCGAATGCGAGATTTCCACCTGGCCAATTGCCAGTGCGCCGCCCTACTTGGCAATCTCGTACACATGGGGCAACCCGGCCGACACGACCGAGATCACGATCAACGGCAGGCGTCTCGTCGTACGACGCAACTGCGAATATGTCCTCCAGCAGGCTTTTGCGTCCAGGCCCGGGGAGTACTTCTGGGTTGATGCTATTTGTATTGCTCAGACTACGCAAGAGAAGAACCACCAGGTTGGGATTATGGGCCAGATTTACTCCGGAGCAAAGCATGTTTTGGCGTGTGTTGGACCCCACGAGAACGACAGCGAGTTTCTCCTGGAAGCCATTAAGAAATATGATGCGCTGTTTAAAAGTATTCGTGCGGTTTTGGATCTACAGCAATACAATGCGTGGGAAAATCCGATCCAGGGCCATATGAAGGTTCTTTTGCGTTGCCTGTTGTCCATGAGAAGCAAGACGCGCCAGCGACTGTACCACGCATTCCGTGCATTCATCCAGCGACCCTATTTTACTCGTGTATGGGTAATGCAAGAATTGCATTTGGCCACTAGCGTTTCGTATTGCTTTGGAATGGCTGTGCATACGGCCGAGGATTTTTTGTCGCTGCACTGGCTCATGAGATTTTGGACAATTCCCATGTATGATTCCTATCGTACGCCTATGCTAGTACGGCGATTTTTCGTCATTGGCCGGTATACATGGGCGTATTCCCGAACAAACTTTTCCAAGGAGATGCTGTTCGAATATACAATGCACGAGACTGGAACTACCCTACTGGGATTAGGCTGCACCAAAGGCAAACTAAGGCCAGTAGATGTGCTTCTTAACACCAATTTGGAGTGTACCGATCCACGGGACCGGTTGTATGGTGTCTTGTCTCTTGTGAACTGGCCGGATCAACAGAAACCAGAGGCTGATTATCAGAAGGACTATTTCCAAGTCGCAGCCGATGTTTTTGAGTACTTTCCCAAATCCTGGAACAATGAGAACGCCTGTTATGGCGCACTAGCCCTGTGTCGCGCGTTCCAAGTAACCGGAAAGGAACCATCTCTTTGCCAAGCGCTGGCCCTGCGTTCCAATACGTCCCGACCAAACCGCAACTCGAATCGCGATGATGCTAGCGATCTTGTCAGAGACGATTGCGAGTGGCAAGGCCTCCAGATATCAGATGTCGTGACATCCTTCAAGTCGTCAAGCCACTCTGGTGACGAGCGTCTGAGGGTGTACCTGTCGACGCAAAAGGGGGGCGGGTGGTCTGTTCTGGAGCTGCATAGGAATTCAGAAACCATGATATTTCCAGCTCCTCTTGGCACCAGGAATGGTGACTGGTTGGTATTTGAATCCTCGGTGTTAGGCGAGAGGGGATTTCTTGGTCTGATAGTCAGGATATCAGAAAGCGGCGCGTACACCGTAGTGGGGCAGGTATATGTCCGCGAATTCGACTATATGACTTTCAAAATGCTGCTCATGGATGTCGCCAATGTCAGTTTTGCTGGCCATTGGCACCCCGAGGACCTTTTACTTTTGGGGTGGAGTATCAGTAAGGTGACATCTGGCGAAAGCACAGCACACGAGATAAGCGAGTTCGTCAACCGGCGAATCTGTGCATGGGATGGCTCTTCGTATTTCACAGAGAAAACGTATGATTTTTCCTTTTTACTCAAATCAAAGTTAGGTAGCACATAGCAATAATATATCAACAAATTGTAATAAGCTCCTATCATCTGTTAGTCTCATACATGGACAGAATAAATCAAGTACGCAATCTATTGCTTAGCTCTTAGCGACTGACACAGAAGACGTATTTGAGTGAAGCAAGCGGCAAGTAGACGCCAAGGTTGCGGGCACCAGCGGCACCAAGTTGCTGGCCTTGGGATAGACTTTGGTCGATAGGCTATCAGACGAGCCAGGCCGCCGAGGGTGGGGCAGACGCACGATTAGTCAAAAACACGTCAGAAATGTAAACGGTGAGTGTGGAGTCGGCATGACTCGCTTTGAGACTTGAACAGGAGTGAACCTGGCTGTCCATCAGGCAATGCCGTGGTTTGAGTTTACATGCCACATGTGCATGTTTTCCCGTCCGGGGAGGCGGTTTCAGGTGCATTCTGGCTTGGTTGGGTGCCCGTGCCTTATGCTGCTGCAAAGCATAACGGAACATTGTTTGCACCTGCTCTGGCTTGCCGATGGACGGGTCGAGGTGTTTGCTGTACGTGATGGGCCAAAGCATGGCCCCTTGTACGTGTGGTTGCCACCCAGGCCGCCTTGAAACTGGGCACTGAAACACACTATCCGGCCAGATATGAGGGCATACAAGCATGAAGATGACGGCTTGTATATTCTTGGCGCAAAGACGACAGGAATTAATGATTGGCCCCGGGGGAGCCTGGAGCAGCAGTGACTCAGCTGTGCGAGACAATGGAGGTGACGGGCGGCAGTCGACGGGCAGCGTCCATGACGTGTAGCTGAGGAGCCAAGTTTTTTTTTTGCTGGTGCGTGGCGGAAGAGGCGTCGTGGCGGGCATAGGCGCGAGGGCTGAAGGGCATTGCAGCATTCGCATGAGCTGAGCAGGCGGTATTAATAGGCGTTGGAGGAGGCGGCCGTGAAAGCGGTCGTGGAAAAGGACCGAGCCGCATCCTCTTTGGGAGGGGGCTCGGGGCTAGGAACAGGCTAGCGCCGGGGCTAGCGACGCGCCAATGTGGTGTAATGTGCCCAGACGACGTGTTTCAGAACAGGGCAGGGGCATGGGGGGCGTTCGGGGAAGGAGCGATTCAAAGACGCCAAAATAATTCACACTCGCTCCCCCAGCCCGCCCGCCCACGACAACGACACCACCATCACCACCACCACCACGACCGACGCCGTCCGCCTTGCCTTGCCTTGCATCGCCCTGCATCGCCCTGCATCTCCGCCCGGCGAGCTGCCCGGCCTCGCCTGCATTCCTATTCCCTCACCTGTCCGCCCGCCGCCGCTGAAACTCGCGCATGTCCACCGTCGCCCATCAGCGCCTCGACTCCGCACCGCCGCCGGTGCCCCAGCCGCTCCTTTGTCGACCCACGCCGCGCACCCGCATGCGACGCCTGTAACCCTCTGCCGCTGGACGACGGACGCTGCTTGCCTGCCTGCCTGCCTGCCTGCCCGCCCGCCTGCCCCCGTGCTTTCGCATCGCTGCAGCAACTCGAAGGGGCTTGCTGAGTCCTTGCGCGAGCCCGCTCCGACCATCGATTGCGCCTCACTCTGCTTAGCCGTCTCTCCAACGACGCCCGTCAGCCCCCCCCCAACCAACCACCCCCAACGCGCTGCGAGGCATGAGCTAGGATGACGCGCCCTCACATTATCAGAGCAGGTACGCATCCGCTCCACGAGTGCCCGCTCGGCGGCATGCACCACCCGCTAATCCCAATGGCCAGACACAATTGACCTGCAGGACAAGATTTCCCCGACCGCCCAGGACCATTCTCACCAGCCCGAACGCCCAGCCCCCCTCGGAGCAGGCCCAGCCGCTCCCCATCAGCAGGCCGCCATCCGCCATGTCGAGAAGGAGCGCACCTCGGAGGAGGCGCGCCTGCACAACGTCTGGGACCAGACCAACAACACGCTTCGGGACGACCCCGGCTCTGATGACGAACACACGACAATCCACCACGCCAACGGACACGATGCGTCGCACGACGAACAGGCGGTGCGGCTGAACGGCGGCGCACACGGCGACGCTGACGATGCCGACATGCAGGATGCCGACGTCGAGGAGGACATGGACGACGACATGATGGACAAGATCTCGAGCTCGCCCTCGATAGACGATGGTGGGTATTTTTCACCTTGTTACCCCGCGACTTGGCCGGCAAGACAAGGGTCGTTGACGCCGCAGTCTTCGCCGTTGCCCTCAACGGTCGCTTCTTCCTCCCCGTTTTCCAGTACACCCCTTCATTTTCCTATTTCTGCCGTCAGCGCCTCAGGACCGTCTAGTGTCCTAGCGTCTGACGGCTCTCCTCTGTCATGTTTCCACCCAAAGCCAATTCCAACTTCTCTTCACGTTTCCCCACCAGCACACAAGTCAACGGAGCATCATCATGGTGAGTATACCTGGACAAGGACCACCAGCCCACCGGAACACGAGGATGACACCAACGCCGAGGTGAGTATGAGTCCGGAGACAAGGCGTTTGAGGGCCATTGAACGCCGCATACAGATGACGAGAGATGATTCGCAAGCATCGCTCATCTCCGAACTCGATGAGGAGCAAGTCAGAAGTATGCTGAAGCCCATCAGCCGTTCCCTGCTCGACAGCCCAGACGACCCGTTTTTCGACTGCACACCTCCACCCGAAATCCAATGCCCCGACGAAGACGATTCCTGGATTACCGACAGCGACGCAGATTCCTGGGACGAAGACCTAGACCAAGACAACGATGATGCATCCAGTGACGTCTCTTTCTCTGATGATTCCAGATTTATCGACTCGGGCTGGGGAGGCGAATGCTTACGAGAAACAGAGGACATTGATTTTGAATTTGTCTACGCGCTACACACATTTGTCGCGACCGTAGAGGGCCAAGCAAACGCAACAAAGGGCGACACAATGGTGTTACTCGACGACAGTAACAGCTACTGGTGGCTGGTGCGAGTGTCAAAGGACAACAGTATTGGTGAGTAACAGCCACAGGCGCACCGCTCTCTGCTGACCCAGTCAAGGTTATCTGCCCGCAGAGCACATCGAAACACCCACAGAACGCTTAGCGCGTCTTAACAAGCACAGAAACATTGATCTCTCTGCCACAATGCTTGGTGATACCGCTGAAAAGACAAAAAACCCACTTAAGAAGGCGATGCGGCGAAGGAACGCAAAGACTGTCCAATTCGCACCACCGACTTATGTTGAAGCCTCAGACTACGACTACTCTTCTGATGAGGGCGAGGGCGAGCTTTTCGGAGGCCCCGAGCCAAGGCAGATGCAACAGGAACAGAGCGGAGCGCAGAATGGCGATGCGGCTCAAGACGACGGTATGCAAGTGCAGCCGCTCAAGGTGAATGGTGGGAAGAAGGACGGCAACGACGGCGACTCACGCCGTTCGAGTGACGACTCTAAAGGAAGCGAGGACTCCCTGGACCGACCATTAGACCCCAAGGTATCACGGAATGGCACACTTCGCAACACCGACTCTTTCTTCAAGGACGACAACACTGAAACACGCAAGATTACGCTCACGCCAAACATACTTCGCGACGACTCGAGTTCTTCGACTACAGGCTCACGGGAACGCGGAGCAAGTCTCGAGAGTTTGGAGAAGAATGGCTTTGCAGACAAGGTCAAGGACGACAAGAAGAAGAAAGAGAAGAAATCAGGTATGCTGAGTGGGCTCTTCAAGCGCAAAGACAAGAAGGGCAAGGGCGCACAGGATTTGGTGGACAGCGATATGGAAAAGTCAGAGGAGGCTGATCGCAGCTCACCGCAATCGAAACCCTTGGATGAAGGTGCAGAACGGTCGTCAGCTGAGCAGGCCGCGGCGCCTGCGCCTTTGAGACAGCCAAGCAAGGGCAAAGTGCAAAGGCGCCAGATCAGTCGCGACGACTCTCCGATAAAGACCAAGGGTATCTTGAAAACAGAGAGTCCTATGGATACGGACTCGGACGACGAAGACGACAATGCCGCGGAGGACGAATCTACCGCACAGCAGACGACCTCATCCATGCGTCTGGTGCCACCAGAACAAGGCAACACAAGCCCATCGCCTGCTGAGGAGCAAAAGAAACCCTCTGTTTCAGCCTCGACCTCTACACATTCAAAGAACCCGTTCAGCGGTATAATGAAGTCTTCACACGATGGCGAGGTGAAGCGCGAAAAGGTCACAAAGGCCAAGCAGCGTGTACAGCTGGACGACTTTGACTCGGATGAAAGCAGCGATCCTTTCGCGGACCCTGACGCTGAACGAAAATCGGGCGGGGCTGAGAATTCAGAATCGGCTGGGCGTCTCTCGGAATCACCAGTACATGTCTCTGTAGCAGATGCACAAGCGTCCCAGAAAGAGAATGGGGCAGGCAAGGACAGAGAACTCGATTCTCACCATGCTCCTGGCTTGTCCACGGATAGCTCAAGCCAAGAAACTAGCTCACCAATATCGACGCCAACACCCGACGACAGTCCCTCAAAGAATAGCCAGGAGAACGCATCGCCTACAAACACGACATCGGCCTCGGCTATCCCTCCACCTTCGAGATCCGCACCGAACCCTATGGATGAAAGAGAGCCTTCTCCACCTGCTTCGTCGGACAGCACAATCCTGCCCGCTTGGTCCGACGCCTCCCTACGCGCCTATCTCGACGATGGCAGTGAAATTCGCGACATGCTTGTCGTCATCAATGATACCACGGGCGTTGTGCCAGTTGGCCCCGACCATCCTCTCATGAAGGACTACCTTGCTGAGGAAATGAAGACCATGCAAGGTCTAAGTGGTGAGCTAGATCGCTTGCTCAATGGACTAATGGAGAAATCAATGAAAAGAGCGGGCAGTGCAGCCAGCAAAGCTAGCACCACCCGTAGCACGAGCGCCAACGGCAGCTTGAACAGAGGAACAATGCTTTGAAGGAGTAAGGCTGGTCCGGAGTCATTCATCATTGTTGGTATACCCCCAAAGGCACACATCTTGCTACGCGCCCCCTTGTCGTAACGGCGTTTTCTGGAGATTTTGGGGCATCATGTGAGACGATCTTGGGAATACATCGGCGGGGTTGGTGGGCCTTTGTCTTCTTGCTTTTTTTTTTACTCTTCTTTCTCCATCTTTTCACCTACGACGCCTTTTTTATTTTTTGCTCCGTTGTTTTCTTTTGGAAATCTCTTCTTTACTTCTTACTGATTTCCACCCGTTTTTCTTCCTTCTTATACGGGTAGGAGGGGAGTTGACTATGCGATGGCGTCTCCCTTTTTTTTACACTCTCCTTCGTATACATTCGCTCTCCTTTTATATCCACTCGTGCGGCCCCTTCAATCCTTAAACTCTGTCAACTTGGAAAGGGGCTTGTAACACTTTTTCTTTTTCCTTTTTTTTTTACAATGACCTGTCTCTCCAACAATACCCCTCGTTATTTTGTTTTTAATTTGTCTGAATACATTATCGACATGTTCACATACAGTACATTACCTACCGCACTCGCTTATTTGATTTTTCCGTTGTAATTTTCTGTTTTTTTTTATCAATTTGCATTTTCTTGTTGATCTCTTGGATTCGGGTGAGGGAGGGTGGTTATTATTATTCTTGTTTTTTTTGGTTGCGTTGTGGAGGGAACAAGAAGAAGAAGAAGAAGAAGAAACAAATAATTGGACACTTTTTTTTTCAACGGTCTTTTCTTTTCCCACTTGTCTTCCTCTTCTTCTTCTTCTTCTTCTTCTTCTTCTTCTTCTTCTTCTTTCTGTTCCTTTCTGTTTTTTTTCTCAACTTGAGGCCTCCCCGCCCCCCCCCCGTGTACACTGTACGTATAAACTGTCTGCTGGCCCCCCCCCTACCCCCCTTTTTTTTCCTCGTAGAAAAAGAGAAAGAGGGATATCATGGAATTCCAGAAGCTTGTTTGTTTGTCGACTGCGAGTAATGTGATTGGTATTTGCTAGACTGTGTGTGTGTGATAATTGTTAATCGTGAGCTACTTCATCTCTATGGTGCCAGAGTTTATTTTTTTCCCCCCAACGAGATGAAAACATCTTCCCAAGTCTGACCATAAATCGCAGAGTGCTTTATATGTATATATATATATATATATATTCCTACCTGAATCCAGCTTGCCACCCTCTCTAAACATGCTGAAGAAAATAAAAAAAACCACCACGTCCTTGTCAACTGCATGTCGAGAAATGCCATGTAACAACACATATGACCTCGCGGTACAAGTTAAAAAAAAGAAAAACCCCCCCACCCACCCAGCACCGCTTTCTACCTCTTTCCACCAGTCTATCCAAGGGGAAATTATCATGTTTAGTATGTATGTATGTATGCATGTATGTATGTACCTTGTTTTTTCCATCTACTCAGAACTCCCTGCTGCACTCGACACACACACACACACACATATATATATATATAGTACTACCAGAACATAAAACATACAGCTATGTATGGACATGGCTATGTGTCATTCTTGGCTCGTTTGATACTTAGATGTAACGTATGTGGCAAGCGAGCGCCGCAGGCAAGCGAGCGCCGCACCCCACCAAACCTGCGCACCTCTCCTATCTCAACGAACAATGGCTCAACGTAGCGCTACTCAATTAGCTTTGAATAAAGCAGATATTCAGCTTGCTATTTCTTCTATTAATCTCTATTAAACACAAAGTAATTGTCGCGCTGCTGCTGTCTACAACGTGTCTAAACGAACAATCCGCCACCGACGCGCTGGTATACCTGCTCGACGCGATTGCCAGCCTAACTCAAAGAAGCTCACTAAGCTAGAAGAGGAGGTGATAGTTGATCATATACTTGATCTAGGATCTAC